TCTCTCTCTCTCTCTCTCTCTCTCTCTCTCTCTCTCACACACACACACACACGATTTCTACCGGGTCTGTATACTTCGTGACTTTGTTCCAGGTTGTCGGGTCTGTATATACTTCGTTTTTAAAATCTGAGGCCGAGTTTAGCATGTTTTTAAAAATACGGAATGCTGAATCCTATCTTTGTCACGCAACCAATGCAGCCAATTTTGTCATTCAACTTTTTCAGCTTGTCATTCACCTTGACAAACTCAAAACTATCCTGTAACTTCTGCGGTAGTGTCAATTGCCACCGAGTGACGCGGTGGCAATTGACAAAAATTGATTTTTTGTCAATTGCCACAGAGTAAATTGATCTGGAGCTCTTTGGCATTGGTGGGTAGATCTAGCTTATTGTGCTTGAGTGCTCGGTGTTGTGCGTTCGCCTCTCTGTCCCTCTGTGTGTGTGTGTGTGGTGTGTCTTTACTCTTTTCCTGACCCCCGTCTCCCGATTTTTGTTCCCCGATATAACGTGAATTTCTGCTGGAGTTCGTGTGCGTTTGTGACTTACTTCTCTAGAATTGCCTGTGTTGGTTCTACACCAACAAGGACAAAGTGTAGGCTAAGGCTAGCCTAGATTAGATCTAGGCTTACGTCTCATTGAAAACACGCCAAGTTGGTACAGTAGCTCTAGACTAGATGCTCGTCCAATGAAATTAGTTGAGAACAAATTGACCCATTGGACACACATTATGTATTATAACGAAGTGTATACAGACCCGGTAACCGGGAACAAAGTCACGAAGTATACAGACCCGGTAGGGGAACTCTTTTGTGATTTCTGGAAGTTTCAACCCCCAGACCCGGTAGAAATCGTGTGTGTGTGTGTGAGAGAGAGAGAGAGGGAGAGAGAGAGAGAAAGAGAGGAGGGGGGGTACTAGCAAAATGTATATGACATGCCCCAGTTGGCAGGAGGGAATGAGAGAAAGATAGAGTGGGAAATAGGTGGGGACAAAGAAAGACAGAGACAAACAAAGAAAAAGAGAAGGCGAGCGATACACAGAGGAGAGAGAGAAAGAGAGAGAGAGGGGGGGGGGCCTGCTCGATTGAAATTATGACCTTGTAACTTGTTCTTTTCTTCAAATTGTGATTCCTCCAACTCCAAAACGGAGGAAAAACGATTGTTCATCGAAAAGACATCCACAATCTTCATTTGTCATTTAGATCTAGGCTAGCCGTGTAACTAGATCAAAGATTTAAGTTTGTTTGCCTAGATCTAGATCTAGATCATAGATCTAGAAGAACCTAGGTTTACCCTGAGCCAAGAGGGCGCTGGAAACTCTCCGAAATCACAAAAGAGGGTAAATTTTTACTTTCACTCCCGCTCACAGATACACTGTTTCAGGGGTCAAACTTCAAGTCACAATATTTCGCCTGCGAACACAACACATACCACTAAATTCCTACCTTAATAGGATCCACAAGGATACCCCACCCGACTGCCAGGATGAAACAGTACCACACCACCTCTTTAACTGCCCAGCACTTTGTGACCTGCGTAGCACCTACCTACTTGCCTCCCCAGACATCGGAAACACTCTATACAGCGACAAAGCACAGCTGATTAAAACCTGTCAATTCTTTGCCATATCGACAGACCGAAGGGCTAGAATCCAAATGGCCCCTGGATCGGAAAAGTAAAGTAAAGTAAAGTAGGGGTCAAACTGCAGTACTGTTTGCTGCAGATCACACATAAAGCCACTAAAACTGTCGCAAATCAATTATTTTCAAGAAAATTTCAAATCTAACTGTAAAATAATAAATTTTGGGTAAAAACAGGGGGGCATGCCCCCCTGTAACCCCCCAGATTTTCTTTTACCTCAGCCCCCCTGGAACCCCCCGATTGGTCAAAAGCACGTCTATCTCGGTTAAGAACAATTATATATTTCGAAAACTATTAATTTGCGACGGAAATGAAGTTGACGTGTTCAGAGCATCAATATTTAGTAGAAATTGGACAACTGGTAGCTGAGTGTGAAATGGGAGAGAAAGTAAAAAAATACCCAAAAGAGTTCCCTTACCGGGTCTGTATACTTTGTGACTTAATTCCCGGTTACCGGGTCTGTATACACCCCCTATGTCTGAAGCTAAAGATAGTGTTGTTTTCAAACTTGACACCGCTTCACTCGGTGGCAATTGACAAAAAGTCAATTTTTGTCAATTGTCACCGCGTCACTCGGTGGCAATTGACGCTACCTAACTCTGCTCCTACTCCTGGTCAACATTATTTGAAATGGAATGTAGGCCTACACTTGTTGTGTGTGTGTGTATGGGGGTGGGGGTGTGTGCTAAACAAAGGACAAAAAGCTTATTTTTCTAAAGATGCTTTGATTGATCAACTAGTTAAACACTGATCCTGCCATTAGTGAAAGTGCTGATCTTTTAAGGCTAAGGCCGGCTCTATTTCTCAGAACGTTTGGGAAAATAAACTTGAACTCTTCTAGGCTATTTCTCCGAACGGTTTCCGTTCTCGAGATTTGTTGATAATAAGGGAATGGAGTGGCCCGTGTGTGTGAGTGTGCATGTGTGTGTAAGGTGTGAAGGGGGGGGGGGTATTTTTTTTTTACAATAAGGATTTTAGTTTTTGCTGGGTGACTAAATGCAAAATAGGTTACTGCCAAGGTCGAGCTGTCTTGTTTTCTCGCAGTACCTTTTGAAGGTATTTTCAATTGAAGTATAGTCTGGGCACGTTGCCCCAACCACAACTGAAGTATCTGAATATTCAGACATTTAAAAATCTCTAGCTCTAGAAATTGCATTTGGTGCAAAAAATCCTTCTTCCCAGTCCTCGTAGAATGGCAGAATGATGCACGCTTAAATCTTGCAAATAACCAAAAAATCTCGAGATTGGAAACCGTTCGGAGAAATACAGTTCAACTTTATTTTCCGAACGTTCGGAGAAATAGTCACTTCGTTTTGAAAGGCCACCTCTATTCTCAACCTGGATGAGAATAGCGCAGACGGGCCTTTTAGCTATTCTCACCCAGTGTGCCTTCTTCGTGATTGGCCAGCCAGCATAGCGTTCATCTTGAACAATGTTCCAGCGCTCTTGACCTTGTGTTGAAAGCGTGCAATTTTCTATTTTGTCTGTTGGCTGTGAGAGAAAGAGAGAGGTGTGGGGGGGGGGGAGAGACAGAGAGGAGTAGCGCGAGAACATTCGTGCAAAACAAAATGGCGACCTAAGTAGTTCGGCTCGATTCGAAATGTTAAATAGCCGTTGTATCTTTGTAGACGACCAAATTAATTTACTTTTGTTTTTTAATATTAATATCATTTTTTTGTCTTTGTTTTTGTCAATTTGATAATCCACACTGATACACTGTATTCAGAAAGAGAGTGCGAGAGAGAGAGAGAGGAGTAGATCTTGCGAGAACTTCCAGGCAAAACAAAATGACGACCCGCGTAGTTCGGCTTGATTCGAAAAGTGACATAGCCCCATAGCATCTTTGTAGACGACCAAATTAGCTTAAACTACAAGTGCTATAACGTCATTTTTTCTTTGTTTTTGTCTATCTAATTATCCACACCAATAGACAGTATTCCGAGATTAGGAAGAACAGGTCTTGTTTCGCACCGGGTGAGAATAGCCAACGCTGGCAAGTCTCACCCGTGGTGAGAGGTCGATCGTATTTTTATTCTAACCCGGCGTGAGGATAGCCACTTCCTTTGTGAAATTTGCAGTTTGATGATCTGTCATCTGTGTGTTAAACCGTCGGTGTTCTTTTACTTTCACTATCGTCTCATGCTCGGGTTTTTATAATTTATTGTAGAACTCTTTACTTGCACAGAGACAAGCATAGAAAACTGTTTATTTTGTGAGACTGCTTCTCGCGCCGAACAAGGAGTGATGGAGAACGTTTTCGCACCCAACTTTCCACAGACACAATAGGTCTAGCGGACTGGTCGGTGAAATGTTGGGGGTGCTGTATAGTATCTCTGCAGGGTTTTTGTTAAGTGTGTGTGCTTCAATATACAGTGGGGGTCTGCTTTTAAATGGAAATCTGTGGGACTGCTGGATTTTCGTTGGGTTTTTTTCAGGTTTTCAATTTAGAAAGTTTACTCAAGAAGAAAAAAAAATCCAGGGTTTTATTTTCTTTCAGCTTACTGCTGGTTTTGGACTTACTGTAAATATATAATTTGGTTTAATTGTACTACAATGTAATAACACTGTACTTTGTTTTTATTCAAGTTTCTTTCTGTGTGCATCAAAACGTTTTGTCGTTTTACAATGTGTAGCATTTGTTTAGATATATGCTATGATGTTCATCCAATGAAATTTGAACAAAGGTCAGTCAGTGTCCTTGGTTTTGTTCTCTATAAATGTGGAACTTCGAAGGATATTTAAGAAACAACACTCCCATCTATTGTTATCACACCTTTAAAATGAGCTTGTTTTGAAGGTTTTTCAAAACCACTGGGAGGAGAAGGTGAAAATTGAGAGCGAATGATTGGAAAAATCTGGAAACAACTTTTTTCCCTTCTAACTTTACAAGGAAGTCCCCCCCCTTGCAACTTTCAGGAATGTTATTTTAAACAATGATTTTTTTGCAACTTTAGTTTTGCTAGAATAGCTGGCCTATTTCTCATTGTGCTCAATACTTAGTCATCAATATTTCCCTGGCCTTCTGACCCTACCAGTCTACTGAGCGGGATACCAGCAACCCAGACGCTTCGCAGTCGGACGATGCTTCAGGGTCAGACCACGACGAAATTTATGAGGAGGGGAGCGATGACGAACCCTTTCCAGAAACTGATGAAGATGGGGCCCCGGAGGAGGAAGAAGGTGGTTCAGATTCAGAAGCAGCCACAGATAGAGATGAGTGGAGAGAGGGTGCAGCATTGCTCGATGTCCTGCCCTTTGAACCCAGCAAACAGCCTGGCCCGCAGGTGGTGCTGCCTGCCACAGCCACACCTCTCCAGTTCTTGCGACTGCTCGTCACGGTCGATATGATGAAGGAGATTGCCAAGGAAACAAACCGCTACGCCAACCATTTTGTCAAGTCTACTCAACTCACGCAGGTCAGTTGCTTGTCGTCTTGGGAGGACACTGACGCAGACGAGTTGTGGGCCTTTTTTGGGTTGATAACTGGTATGGGCATCATTCGGGTCGCCTCCTTTCAGGACTACTGGTCGACGGATGCCGTGTACAGCCTGCCGTTCTTCCCGAGTATCATGACAAGGGAACGTTTCCAGAACCTGCTGACGTTTTTACATTTCAGCGACGAGAAGTTCATCCCGAGGGGAGAGGAGGGCCATGACCCACTCTTCAAGATCAGTTCTTTCCTGAACTGTCTTGCGGAGAATTTTTCGAAAAATTATTACCCCACCACAAACATCGCTATTGATGAAGCCATGATTTCATGGAAAGGTAGATGTAACGTCAGTGCCCCAGTGTACGGCCATAGAAATCAGGACAGGTTTGGACTTAAGATCTTTCAGCTGTGTGACTCCAGCAATGCCTATTGTTGCAGGTTCGAGGTATACACTGGGAAGAAGGAAGTCTCTCCAAAGGGAGTAGACTATGACATGGCCATGAGGCTGTTGTCGCCGTACCTTGGATGCGGTCATCGGCTCTTCATTGACAGCTTCTTCACAGCCCCAGTCCTCTTCAAAGACCTGCTTGCAGCCAAGACCACAGCCTGCGGTACTGTTCGGCTGAACAGGAAAGGCCTGTCAAAGATGCCACAGAATCGGAAGAAGGTGGTGAAGAGGAAGGGAGATGTAATTTCAATGACAACAGGGTCCATGAACCATATCAGGATCATTGGTCAGCAGCAAGTCAACTTCCTCACGTCCATCCACACTGACAGTATGAGCGATACTGGAGGACAGGATAGAACTGGGGAGCAAGTAAACATGCTAGATGCAGTGAGGGAGCACAGCAAGCACATGGGAGCAGTCAGCAGGTCAGATCGTTTGGTAGAACTCAGCTACGTCAAATTGAGGAGGATGAAGTGGTGGAAAAAAGTCTTCTTCCACTTCTTCATGTTGGCGGAGCGGAACGCCTACCTTCTCTACAAGGAGTCGACACAACAGCCCATGAATTATGCTGTGTTCCGGCGCGAGCTGGCCAAGGAGATGGCGAGCCAGTCTCCTCCACGACTGCCCCCAAGACATGCCGCCCTCCAGACGGGAAGTTCCTCACTGCATCGACTGACGGCACGACACTTCCCCAGCAAAATCCTTCACCCTGCTGGCTTTGAGAAGCGCAGACCCCGTACCAGACTCTGCGTTGTCTGCAGCACCAGGACGGGGAAGAGAAAAGTTCCAGGCGATGGCAGGAGGAGGAAGGAGACCACAGTGGAGTGCGTCGACTGCAATGTTGGTCTCTGTGTCATTCCCTGTTTTGAGTTGTATCATACTCAAAAGGACTATAAGAGGAGCTATCGGAGACTTCAAGAAGTTCAAGTTCAAGGCCAGGACAACTCAGCAGAAGTCTCTTCTTCCTCCTCCTCCGAGTGATGGTCCTTTGGAGTGAGGACCACCATCATCATGATCATCTGTCCTTTTGCCATTTGAGAATCATCATCTGTCCTTCATCAACTCTGTCCTTTTGAAGACCATTGACTGTCCTTCCGCAGGTGTCATTTTTTTTAGGACTGCTGTCTGCTATTTTTTTTTAGGGCCATCTGTCTTTTGACTGTTCCTTTGAGGACTATCAATTGTCATTTTGAGGACTATCATCATCTTTCATTGTAATGTAAGCTCATCAACTGGCCTTTTTAGGACCATTATCTAACCAAATGGTGTCCATCATTATCTGGCCTTTTTGAAAGCCATTGGATGTCCTGCTGAGAAACTGTACTGTGTAATTACAGATGAAATGACAGTCAAACCTTGTTATAACACCAATCTTGGAGGAGCAAGCCTAAAGTTGTTAGTACTGTGGGGCCGGTTGTACAGTGGGGCCTTTATGATGTCCTCTGTTTAACAACTCCTACAGCCCACCATCTAGGGAAATCATTCTGCTGATGTATAAATCACTGCCTGAATTTGCATCAACACCAAGCTGAGTCCACTTTTCCTTCCTTCTTTCCACTGCACACACACTATAACCCATCATATCATGTACAGTATAGAGGCAATCAACTTAGGCTTACTGTGGATCATGTTGGTCAGGTGCTATTCGCCATGTTGAATGTTATTTTGCTTCCTTTGCTTTTTTCTGAGTTCTTTAATTTCTTGTTTATGTTGGTCACTGTTATTAGTGTTATAGCCGAGTATCTATGATCTGTCCAAATGCCGGTCGTTACAGAACTTGTCAACTAGACATGAGATCGGACTCTGGGGATTTATTGTAAGCTTCTACAGCTGTAATCCTTTTAACGGACACTTTTACAATTTTACAATTGGGGCCAACTGTATGCCCATTGAAGTATTCACGTTTGTACTGAGAATGGAGAACTATGTTGAAGAGATAATATAGCCAAAGATCTGTGAGTTAATTTTGATTGAATATTGTCAATGGGACATCATGTCAATGATTTATGTGCGGTACCATTCTGTTTTGTGAACTGAGTAGATTGGGAATATATTATGTGTCTATTTTTAAATGAATGCTCATTGAAAGCGTTCATGTCATGGTTGTGGGAACCCCCTGGGGCACTGCCACTGACTGTAGTGTCTTTAGGCCATTCCCAAAGGGGGGACATTTCTCGTTCAAGCATTGTAGAATTGTAAATGGGCTGACTCATGTCACGCTCATAACTGTGCCTGATCTACAACAGGGAACTGCTTCTTTTTCTTTCTTAATCCTTACTATTGTCATTTTCCTCTACTTCTTTTGTATGTTTGTCACTCTCTTGTGACTTGCTATTTCCGGGGTGCCTTGGATAGTCGAAGCAGACCTTGTGCTGTTGAAGCTAGAGAGGTGAGCAGAATGAGTCTGATTCCCTGTAAAGACTTCTCTGTTGACACCCACCCCTTGGGGCTCATATGACCTTATGCAGTTGCGAGCGCCGTAAAACCCTCTGCTATAAAAAAAAAGGTTGTGGGTGGTTGGCGGGTGCTGTGGTGGTATTTGCTTTTTCTTTCCTATCAAACATCTATCATCGTTTTCTCTCCTTCTTTATTGTTGCTCTCTAGTAACACCTCTAATCTCCGGCAGTTATATGACCTATTTCATTTGTGTTGCAATTTAAGTCTTTTGTCATCTTTTCAGTTTTCATGTATCTATTATGATAAATTGCAATGCTCTACTAGTTTTATATAATCTAATACCCCTCTTCACAAATTATGTGGGTGGTTGACTTGTGCTCCTTTGTGGTTTACTCCTTCTTTCCTGTTAAACATCTATCATCCTTATATTATATCTCTCCTTTTTTGTGTTTGTTACTGTCTTGTAACACATCTATTCTTTTGGCACTTATAAATATGACCTTATTGTGTTGCAAGTGCCGTAAAACTAACTTACCCCCCCCCCCCCCCCCCCCTCCCGGGCAGTGCTAGTGACTGGAGTGTCTTTAGGCCACTCCCAAAGGTGGGGGGGGGGGGGGGGGGGGGACATTAACATCTCAAGTTCTTATGCACAGTGTAATTGTAAATGGGCTGATTCATGAATGTCACGCTCATAACTGTGCCTGAACTGCAACTGGGAACTGCTGCTTTTTCTTTCCTAACCCTTTCCTCTACTTCTTTTTTATGTTTGTCACACTCTTGTGTCCCTCTATTTCCGGGATGCCTTGATAGTGGAAGCAGACTTTATGCTGTTGAAGCTAAAGAGGTGAGCAGAGTAAGTCTTGATTCCCTGTAAGGACTGTTGACATCCATCCCTTGGCGCTCATGTGACCTTACGCAGTTGCGAACGCCGTAAAAGCTCTACTAAAACAAAACAAAAACTCTCACTAAAACGTAGCAAATTACAGTGTTTTTTAGAATCATGCTGCTAGTCTTTGTACTTAGAAAGAATAAGAATAAAAGGGATCATTTTGAGAACATTGCATTGACTCCCTGTGTCAGCTAAAATTGGTCGCTTTTAAGGACAAGGGGGCTATCCCGAGAAATGTAATGCTGTTTTGAGAAGATCGAAGTTAAAAGTTTTTGGATCCTTATTAAGTTTCTTTAAAATACAAGGAGAGTTTTCTCTATAACCAAATATACACATCAATGAAACCGAAGCTCTCCCATAGGTAGGGTAATGCCCACTTTTGGTGTAGGTCAAGACTTCTGGAAAACCCCGAATCAGGGTTAGCCCGCTTGTCCTTAAGAGCGACCCTTTGTAGTACCGTATACTATTATGTGTAATGTCAATAAACAAACTCCTTTATAATATCTTTATCTTACTGATCTCATCCAGCTTTATGTTTCATCTTGATCACTGAGATCAGGTGGTCAGTATCTTTTAAGAGGTCTTATGACAGGATGTAAAAGATTAGCTGAAATATCTGTTGCCCATCTTTGCTCCCTCCCTTCCCAAACCCCTGTGACATACAACTTCTGAATCTAAATTTAAAGTTTAAAACATACATAAAAGACATATCATTTAATGAAATAATTTCTAACTCAGTACCTTCATTTTCCAGTAAAATAGTATGTAACTGTCTTTTTATGTATTTTTGTTACCAATGGATGGCATTATAATAATATATGTTATATATTACATTATGTAGGCATATTTTTGTGTGTTTTCACTTCATAACGAAATATGGTGTGTGTGTGTGCATGTACGTATACATTCGTGTATGTGTGTGTGTGTGTGTAACTGTATGAGTGTGTGTGTGGATTGTGTATGTGGATGGTGTGCGCTTTCGTATGTATGTGAATGCTGTAAATGTGCGTCATTTCTTCAGTGTGCGCACATGAGCAAAAATTAAATGTTCATGTATACCATGTCAGTATTCAATTATATATGAATTTGCTATTGCATATTTTTGTGCAAACACCAAAAGCTGTGTTCACACGGAAGCAGTGCTATAAAAATTATCTACAAAATTTATTATTTTTGTTTTAAAAGTGTCTTTTTGTTAGTGAGTTACAGTATTTAGAGCAGAGAGTCGTCTGTCTGGTCTGTTTGTTGAAAGTTTGTCTGTCTCTCTCTCTCCCTCCCTCCCCCCTCTTCTCACTCTCTCTCTTTCTCTCTGTCTCCCTCTCTGTTTATGATCTAATCTCTCCACTTTATGTCTCTTTGTTTGTGTGTGTACAGATTCAAATTGGTTGGCAGGTGCTCTGGTGTGGTTTGCTCCTTCTTTCCTATCAAACATGTATCATCCTGATCTCTCCTCCTTTTTAAAAATTATTTGTTACTCTCTTGTAACACCTCCAATCTTCGGCACATATATGACCTTATTGTGTTGCAAGTGCCGTAAAACTCTTACTTAAGCCAAAACAGGAGTGGGTGCTGCTAGTTTGCTGACAGTATTGCAGGGCTAATTTACATTACTCTCTCTCTCCCTCTCCCTCCCTCCCCCCTCCTCTCACTCTTTCTCTTTCTCTCTGTCTCCCTCTCTCTTTATAGTCTCTCTCCACTTTATGTCTCTTTGTTTGTGTGTGTACAGATTCAAATTGGTTGGCGGGTGCTCTGGTGTGGTTTGCTCCTTCTTTCCTATCAAACATGTATCGTCCTGATCTCTCCTCCCTTTTTTTAAAAATTAGTTACTCTCTTGTAACTCCTCTAATCTTCGGCACATATGACCTTATTGTGTTGCAAGTGCCGTAAAACTCTTGCTTAAGCTAAAACAGGAGTGGGTGCTGCTAGTTTGCTGACTGAGTATTGCAGGGCTAATTTACATTACTCTTCTTTTTGTAAGGACTGTACAGCTCAGGCAGTGGGTGGTTGGTGGGTTTTGTGGTGTGTTTGCTCCTTCTTTGCTATCAAACGCCTATGATATCATAATCAGTGTAACTTCCATTCTTTCTTTTTTAAACGTTTTTGTTACTCTCTTATTTCATTTCTAATCTTCAGCATTTGTAGGACTCGATTGTGTTACCAGTGCTGTAAAATTTTATTACTAAAACAACTTAAACAAACAGAGTAGAATATTTGTTGGAGTTCCTTTTCGTGCATTGGCAAAACCTGTCAGTAAATGGGATGGTATAACAAATTTAATGATTCTAGTTACTTTACGAATGGTTACTCAGGAGGGACCAAAAGTGTACAACTTTTATGGTTGTCTGGTTTATGATTTGCCTGTTCGTCTATTCCGATCATAACAACCTCCTGAGTGGGTGGTTGGCGGGTGCTCTGGTGTGGTTTGCTCCTTCTTTCCTAACAAACATCTATCGTCCTTATCTCTCCTCCTCCTTTTTTTATGTATGTTACTCTTTGTAACTCCTCTATTCTTCGGCACATATATGACCTAATTGTGTTGCAAGTGCCGTAAAACCCTTACTAAAACTAAACTTCTTTTTTATGTTTGTTACTCTCTTGTAACACCTCTAATCTTTTGGCGCTCATATGACCTTATGCAGTCGCGAGTGCCGTAAAACCTCTTCTTAAACTAAAAAACGACTTGACAATAGAAAGATAAATCACGCTCAACCCTACCGATGTCTGTGGTGTAGCGGTTAGGCTCTTCACAGCTGCTGGCACGAGACGCGGATTCAACTCCTGAACTGAGTGGGGAGAATTTTTATTTGATCTCAGTCTTTCTGCTCGTATGTTGCAGTATCCCTCTCTGGTCAGGTTGGCCCTGATAGACAGGGTCAGTTAAGTAGCTCGTGTCCTAAATTATCTAAATTGAGTGGATGGTGATGTTAAAAAACCTGTATTTAAAAAAACCCCAAACAAACAAAAAAGTGAGCAGAGTAAGCCTGATTCTCCGTTTAGACTTCTCTGTTGACATCCACCCCTTGGCGCTCATATGACTATTCAGTTGCGAGCGCTGTAAAACCTTACTTAAACTAAACTATAAAAAAAAGACAAAAGAACACGCTCTAACCTGACTTCCCTTGGCACCTTCCTGTGTGTCTGCTGTCTGGCCTCAGAGCTCCGTGGAGCAGTGTGCTTGATGGACGAGGTAGTGAGGCCATCCATCAATAACACCACGAACCCCCGGCCCGTGGGTGGTTGGCAGGTGCTCTGGTGTGGTTTGCTCCTTCTTTCCTCTATCAAACATCTGTTGTCCTTCCTTATATCTCCTCGTTTTTTGTTTGTTACTCTCTTGTAACACCTCTAATCTTCGGCATTTATATGACCTAATTGTGTTGCAAGCACTGTTAAACTCTTACCAAGCAAACGGACCATGCAGAAGCAGTCAATTTGTGTTTAGTCACATCTGTAGGACAGAACCACGATGGATTTGTCACAAAGCTGATTGCCTTGATAAGCGTGCCCAGTTTTTCCGAGAGACACAGCGTGAAAGTTTGGATCAAGTGCTGGAGATTTTTATTAAGTTTGAACATCGCTGGTAATTGCTCCGCCTCATCCTTAGGCCCAGTGCACATTTATTGATACCTTTGATTCATTTGATAATGTGATACAGTCTGGATTATCCTTCATGGAGGGGCAATAGCTGCCATTTTGGCTCGGTTTGATAAAATCCGCCAAAAACAATGTTTGAATTGGAGGATTTGATAAATTTTCACCAAAATGGTAGTTTTTGCTCATCCAATGAGTGAATTCTAGCTGGCTCTTGACTCGATTTGACTGGATTCATTTGACAGTTTGCACTGGGTTTTTAGAACGAAAGCAAAGTCTAGGGCAGGTATATTCCTGCAAATGTTTATAGAGCCTAAAAGGTTCTAAGAAGACTGTTGCAACTTTACCTCTCATGGACAGAACAGGGGTGATGGATTAACCTGAACCTTCTTTTGCCACTTTTCGGGTCAAATGCAGTGACAGTGACAGTCTTCATGGGAACAGCAAGATTGCTAAACCTCCTTGTGTCACATTATAGTGTCTTTGTTAATACATGTACTGTTGAACCTGCTTTTAATTTATGGTCACCGTCTTGTAGAGTCAATCACCTGTAGGAATGTGGGTGGCTGGCGAGTACTCTGGTGTGGTTTGCTCCTTCTTTCCTATAAAAAAACCTATTCTCTATCTCCCTTCCTTTTTTGTGTGTTATTCTCTTGTAACACTTCTTCGGCACTTATATGACTGTATTGTGTTGCAAGTGCCGTAAAACTCTTTCTAAAACTAAAAAATTGTAGGAGTGGCCTCTTCCCATCCCCTCTTTTGCGCTTTTGGTACACTATGATTATAATAATGACACTGTAAACTGTCCACCTCTGTCTAAGTTAAGAGTAAGACGGTTACTTTTCTCCCCAACAATGGGTGAGTGTCTAAAAGTAGGACAATTTTCGCTGTATTAACTCTTGAGAGCCTGAGCACATTCAACCTTTACTTTACCAAAACTGAATACAGGCCTTTGACTGGGGTCTGCACTGCCTTTGCTCTTCACATTGAATGCACGCTTGAGTACAAACTGATACCCTTCTGGGTAAAAGCCTGCCTACAGCCAGGCATATATTGCCTTTACTCTGATTTCACCATGTGCATGCTAGAATGTACATAAAATTGTCCATGTGGGTGGTTGGCGGGTACTGTGGCGTGGTTTGCTCAAACATCTATCGTCCTTATCTCCCCTCCTTCTTTTTTGTGTATTTTACTCTCTTGTAACACATCTATTCTTCGGCACTTATATGACCTTATTGTGTTGAAGTGCAGTAAAATTCTTACTAAAACTAAACTAAAACTTAAATAATTGTCCATTGTGGTATGATGCATGCTTACTTGTAATTGTTTCCTTTGATCTTTTTATCACAGAATCTTTTCAAGGTTGGAGGTCATCTGTTTTATCAGAATGCACGCCAAGATGAGAACGGGTGAGTGGTTGAAAGTATAGATTGTGCCTCTGTAACATAACCTTCACTTTAAAAAAAACCCCAACCTAATTTGGATCAGAAAATTATTCATGTCCGTTGTTGTGTCTCATTGATATCACGTTATTTTTAGTTGTGGTGTCAATATGACGCCAAAACATGAAAGTTTGGACCAAGAAGAATGCACGCTTTGGTGTTATGTGTACAGTCTCCTATTTCAACTCTTCTGAGAGCATGCTTTAAAGATTTGACGTGGGTGGTTGGCGGGTGCTCTGTTGAGGTTTGCTCCTTCTTTCCTATCAAACATGTATCATCCTTATCTCTCCTCCTTCTATTTTATGTTTGTTACTCTCTTGTAACACCTCTAATCTTCTGGCGCTCATATGACCTTATGTAGTTGCGAGCGCCGTAAAACCTCCACTAAAACTAAAAACTAAAAAATTTGACAATGTTATATTTGGCAATGAAAAGTAATTTAACAAATTTGTTAGATTTACTTGTGCTGTTTGAGAGTAAACAGGATGAAAATTGTATCCTAGGTTATGGTTAGAAAGTAGCCTACAAACTAAATCTGTGCAAATACTGTTAAGTTGAGAATTAATATTATCTTTTGTATTCTGGTGCTAATGTAATTATACACTTGCCAATTAGTATAACTTTATATAAAATTATATGATCATACCTTGGAACAGCTAAAAAGGAGGTTCAAGACTGGCTGACTTATTGACCTGGGCTAAAACTGTGTAGAGACTGCTGTCTTAAATTATTTTTATTCTATTTAAATTTAATCAAAGTTTTAGCATTTCAAGAAATGTTAAACGAAAAGAGGCAGGCTGTTTTCATGTTACCAAGTCATGTACTTGACATGCAAAAGTAGAGTCATAATATTAATATAGTGAAATGCCTTTGTTTCAGCGTTCAAATTGACAATGTGTCTGGCCGCTTTGAAAAGTGTCTGGAAGAGTTTTACGCCATTTGCGATCAGATTGAGATAAACCTGGTAAGTACAAGGCATTGTAAAGCTCTGTTTGCTGCTCTTTGGAAAGTGAAACCAGCATTTGGTTTAGATATAAGAACGTAGCACTTTTCTCGTTGTGCGATTTTGTAGCTGTGCCAGTAACGTTGGGGGCACATGTTGTGTCTGTTGTTTTCACCCAATGACTGCCAATCTGTCGATTTTGCTTTTCGTTTCTATCTCTGTCCCCACCTGAGACTGAATAGTATAAGCTCAAATTTTACCTCCAGGGGCAGTGCCACTGACTGTAGTGTCTTTAGGCCATTCTCAAAGGGGGGGACATTTCTCGTTCAAGCACAGTAGAATTGCAAATGGGCTGATTCATCATGTCACGCTCATAACTGCCTGATCTACAACAGGGAACTGCTGCTTTTTCTTTCCTAATCCTTACTATTGTAATTTTCCTCTACTTGTTTTGTATGTTTGTCACTCTCTTGTGACCTGCTATTTTTGGGGTGCCTTGATAGTCGAAGCAGACCTTGTGCTGTTGAAGCTAGAGAGGTGAGCAGAATAAGTCTGATTCCCTGTAAAGACTTCTCTGTTGACACCCACCCTTTGGCGCTCATATGACCTTATGCAGTTGCGAACGACGTAAAACCCTCTACTATAAAAGAAAAAGCTCATATTTTTAGTCTTCTTCTCGTCTTGATCAATGTAATGTTTGTTAGTAAAACTGTAGATAGAGGAGGAGTGAAAAGATCACAATTCAAACTTTGTATTATTGCAAAGCTCATTTGTGCCTTTACTGGAGATGTGCTGTAAAAATGTTCTTGGTTAATGTTTCTCTGACCCCCTCTATTCATCTTTTCGGAGGCCTGCCCCTTCCTGTGTTTCCATTTGATCCTTGGCTGTAGGCTCTCGCTGCTACCCTGTCTAGTCGTTGTCTTGACATTGACAGGCCTAAACCATTCAATTTGTTATAAAATTTGCTCTCATGTAATGCAAGCAGGGAGTTAAACCAGCTAATTCTTTGATAATGTTGATAGAGGTGTTAAACCCATACACTTATTTAGTGGGTGGTTAGCGGGTGCTCTGGTATGGTTTGCTCCTTCTTTCCTATCAAACATATATATTTATTGTCCTTATCGCTCCTTTTTTGTGTTTGTGCTACTCTCTTGTAACACCCCTAATCTTTGGCACTTTACATGACCTTATTGTGTTGCAAGTGCCGTAAAACGCTTACTAAAACATGCTTAGTAAAACTAACTAATTCTCTGATTCTGATCGTCTCATTGGTAGTGTTAATATATGAACATTCAGCCCATACCCTTACTTTTGAAAAAGAAACAAACTGAAAATAAGAGAAAAAGAAAAAGCCCCAAAAACTTAAAAAATGATTGCTTTGTTCCAGAGACTGATCGTCTCGTTGAAAGTTTTGATAAGGCATACACTTAGATCTATTTAAAAAAAAACAAAAAACCCATCAAACCCCTTTAGAAAACTAACAAACGTGCTTGTGTTGTTCCAGAGACTGGCCCACGAAGTGATCCAGCAGGACCGCGACAGCTCCCGCAACACGCCCATCTCCGTGCTGCCGCCCAAGACGGAGCCCCAACAGCCCGAGGGCCAGCTGTACTCCCAGTACCTGTCCACTGTCAGGGCGCAGATCAACTGTGCCAAGGACATCCGGGACGTCCTTCACGACTGCCTCAAGAACTTCCCCGAGCACTCCTCCCATCCGTGATCCACCGCTGAGACTTTTTGTGTATTGAGTTGTGAGACAGCCGGTGTCTGGAATGTGGTGACTGAGAGGTTCTTTGCCGTGGGCCGCCTGAAGACAAGAGTTCTATTCTCGAGTGGTGCTCTTTTTTTTAAAAGTTAAAATTAAAATTTTTTTTGGACATGCAGTGTCTCCATCTGTGTGCTGGGAGGTTGTATTTTTCTCAACCTGATCTGGCCCAGGGTTGAAGCAGCCTGCCTCTCAAATGATCTGAATTGTGTCAAAACTTAGTCACTCTGCACGACATCCCTTCTTTTGGTCCCACTCCTTGGGCCAAAAATATCACATACTGCTCGAATAAAACTCCCACGGCTGGTTCAGAGCTATTTCGAAATTTGAACTGGGTACTGCAATACTGTAGAACATTACTAAAGCTGAACTTTTAGTTTTAGTTCCAGAAAAAATATCCCGCTGTAGGCAAGTTCCCGTTATAGGAGTGCAATGGGGAATTACTGAAAAATCAAACACTACACACTCTTCTCTTCTTTTACTTTTTGGCCAAGGGCTATGGCACATCACTTTTGGAGTGGCTCACGCAACGCGTCTCTCAGCACGATCTCTCTCTGCCTCTCCGTTAAACCCAAGCACAGGTAATTGAGTTGACATATATTAAAAAAAACAACTGGAAGGGGATTCTGATAAGGTCCCGCTGTAGGGATGGTGCGCTATAGTCATGTTCTACTGTATCTGCTAAGTTTACCATCACCTGCAGTAAATTGAGTGACAGACAGAACACCAACATTTGTGGTGAAGTGGCTAGGTGCTGCGCTGTCGCACGGAGGAGACCCAAGTTTGATTCCTGAGTGGGGAGAAAATTTTTGTCGAGTAGGCCTATCTCTTTCTGCTGAGATTTTGTATCCCTCTTAGCGCGGATTGACCCTGACAGGCAGGGTTGGAAGCCCAACCTGCCTATTTTTCATTCCCACAATGTTCTCATCAATAAATATGTGTGTGTGAGGGCGTGTAGACTATTGTAAAAGTGTTTGAACTCTGCGTTGAGAGCATTTGGGACTGCATAAACTTTGTGCTAGGGATCAAATTTTTCATGACCTCTTGGCATTCCTTTCTTAAATTGTCGTTGACATGGAGTATCCGATGAATGAGCAGAAATGTTCTCTCTGGCATTTTCTGTGACAAAAAGTGGAGTTCCCTGTACACCTTCATGTTCCAATAGACAGTAAGCTTCGACTTTTTAACGAGACCCATCAAGTTTATTGTGAGACCGAATAATGAGTTGAATAAAAGTGTTGATGCTGCCGTTGGTTGAAGAATGATAGAGCACGAATGATGGTCTATGAGCACGAATGATGGTCTATGTTTAACTCACTGAGCACCTCGCCCCGATTTGCCTCCAAGCCCCAGGGGACCACCCATTTCACCCACTTTTTAAAAAATTCATAAAAAATTGAGATGAAATGCTATTTCTTTGAAATTTTCTGTGCTTTTTAATAAGATATGGGTTCAATAGACACAATTAACACATTTTGTGAAGAATGAATGACAAAAAATGTATAGTATGAGACAGAAAGTTGGGTCAAATTTGCCCCAGAAAAAAATTTTTGAAAAAAAAAAAGGAAATGATGTGACAAAGCAGAAATCTAATAAACTTACACAACGTAGTTGTGGCAGTGTGTGTTTGTGTGTAGGAGAATGCAGCATGAGTGTGTACAGTGAAGTAGCATAAAAAAGTAAATGATAGGCTAATTATTTTTGACAAATAAAAATAAAAAGATCTAGATCTTCCTTGGTGCCTGGCTGAGAAGTGTTTTCATTGTCAGTGCTGTTAATGCTAGGACTAGATCTGTCAATAGATGTTCCAGGTCTGGGTACATATATATATATATCTTCTCCACTTTGAGGGCTGGTTTGAACTAGAGTTTAGTACTGGGGCTAGATAGATATCATCCCCAGCCGGACCAGGCTGCGTACTCGCTGACGAGTCAGATTCACGATTGAGAGACGATGTTGGTCTAGATTTAGGTCTAATGTAATTTTTTTCAGTCATCTTCATCCCTGCTAGGTGAATTCACATTTTGATTTATGAAGTTATCTATCTGATACTTCACTGTCACTTAAATCTTCACCAAAATTATTGAGAGTTTCAATAAACCTCGACACTACTCGCCGTGCCATGCTTCGTGTACGAGAAACTACAACGAACTGCGCGGAAGTTCCTTACTTTCAGTTGTTCAGTCCGTTTGACAAATAACCCATTTATTCGCACTAAAAGTGGTGAATATACACAAACCACAAAGAACTAGCTTGTCGATATCCTGTTTAGACCACTAGGGCTATTTGCAAGCATTTTTAAACTAATGGGTTTACTTTATAGTCAGTTATAGTTAAACCTGCGTACGCTGCGGTCGCGGTCCGCGTTTTGTGGCTCCTTCTGGGGTGGGGTCTAGACGACTCACGAAAAATAATCCAGGAATTAATGAGGCACGCTTGGACCAAGCAGCGGTACAAGTACCTCCTCCACTACTTCCCTCGACTTACGCCCGAAGTCGTAGTTGTAGCTGGACAACTGGTTGAACTGATGGACACCACCCATCCCTCCCACTGTTGTAGTTGCACAACTGGTCGAACTGATGGACACCACCCATCCCTCCCACTGTTGTAGTTGTGGACACTGGTCGAACTGATGGACAACACTTATCCCTCCCACTGTTGTAGCTGCACAACTGGTTGAACTGATCGACACCACCCATCCCTCCCACTGTTGTAGTTGCACAACTGGTTGAACTGATGGACACCACTTATCCCTCCCACTGTTGTAGCTGCACAACTGGTTGAACTGATGGACACCACCCATCCCTCCCACTGTTGTAGTTGTGGACACTGGAAGGAATAGTGGTATCGACACGGCCTCTGGGGGATGTTGCGGGTAACCGCGGTCTTTCTCGCTGAGGAATTTGTCGACAGTATGGAGACAAAGTGTTTGTCCCGCCATACCGTCCCGGCGAGGTGACCAGACTGCAGGCTCTTGATTTCACTTCACCCCGCGTCGGCGTTTTGGTCTGGTGTAGTCTCAATGGAGCAGGCCACCCCTTCCTATTTGTACGAATAGTTCCACACGAGTACGTGCTCATTTCTTCAAGCAGATGGTGTACTAGTTTCACCGATGTAAAAAACTGTCGAAATGAAAGTGGTGCCACTTGTGCAGATACCGCTTGGCGACTCTCGTGACCTCGTGGTATCCAGAGCCATGTGGCTGATCCTCGACGGTTTTGCAGGCGTAGATGTTGAAGTTATCGTTTTGGTCTGGTCTCTAAAGAGCTGGCCACCCCTTCCTATTTGTACGAATAGTTCCACACGAGTGCGTGCTCTTTTCTTTGAGCAGATGGTGTACTAGTTTCCTCGACGTAAAAGAATTGTTGAAATAAAAGTGATGCCACTTGTGCAGATACTGCTTGGCGACTGTCATGACCACGTGGTAGCCAGAGCCATGGGGCTGATCTTAGGCGGTTTTGTCTGTGTAGATGTTGAACTCTAAAAGATACTCAAGTGACAGCATCAGCTGCATACCAGGCCTTGATACCGCAAGGGTTCGGCTTGCCTCGGATGTACTGTTTGAAGCTGTCTCCCGGTGAACGGTATCATAGCTTCATCTATGCTGATTTTCTTCGAAGGAAGGTAGTGGTCTTGAATGCTCTGTCATCGTCGTAGTTTTCTACATGGAAAATTTCAAAATTTTGCGCAGAATTTTGCGACCATGTCTAAACTTCTTTTTCCATACTGTTTTAAAAATATAAGTACCAATTAATCACAAGCTGAGAAGTAGCACAAGAGACAGTAAATACCCCCCCCACCAACAATTAGCAACGTACAATCTGTATTTTCGTTTAGAAGCACAAGCTTGATAACATAGAATACCAGCAAAAGGTGTGACCCCATAGAAATGAGACACCATTGTATTATTTCAAAATCAGGTGAGCTGTCAGTTTGAGCTATGTCATTGATACATTTGTAGCGGGTTACACAAACTTTGTACTCTGTTCTTTTGATAACAGGCTGCCAGTGAAGGTCTTTCTAGGATTGGCGTTACATGATCAAACTTTTTCTTTTGAACAACCATGCTGCACAATTCTGAGTTATCAGAATTCGTTTGATGGGGAAAGCACTATATATAATGATTTTGTACATGTTTTTCATTAATTTGAAACAAATATCAAGAACATTTTTGTTTGAGAAAAATGCATTGTATACTTTACTTTTTATCAATGTTTAGGCGAACAGTTCCACATACATATATATGTGTGTTAAGCGTTGTGAGGTGTTGAAAGAGGGCTGGCAACAAGTAGTAGTTATCCATATACAAATGGTGTCCTTTACAAAAAACATCCATCCTTCTCCATAAGCCCACACACAATCTTTTCTGTACATCCGGCTGTGTCAGGCTAGCAGCTTCATCCAGGGGTGAAGTTTGTGCACAATAAATATCGAAGTAATAACAGTACCCTGTCGAGGACTCACAGAGGGTATAAAGCTTTTTCCCCAAGCGATTTAGTTTAGCGGGATTGTAAACTTTGAAGCTCACACGCCCCTTGAAAGGGCAGGTCGCTTCATCAACAGCGATGTCTCTTTGAGGAGAATAATCTGACGCAAAGACAGTCTGGTGAACCCATCCGTTTTCAACATCAGCCGGATGGTTGGCATCGTGTTCTGGAGCAAAATCTAACAAACTAACGTGTGCTGCATTCCGTCTTTCTCTTCCCAAATCTCCACTCTCAAATACTTCAGATTCATCATCAAAATCAGAACTGTCTTGAAATACGTCTACCAACTCCGTTGAACTCCCGGTCGTGGAAATCCATCACGCACGAAACAGGTTGGCTGGCTTTGGTGCCCAAGTGGGTCGCAAAGGACATGATGCTGCGCCTGATCTTGCCTTTCACGAGACACCGCGAGGGGGGAGCATCTATCCACCGGCTGCGTTGACGCCAGCAAGAATTATTATGTGCTCCTTTTAGTTTGAGTCACTGGTTCTTGAGAGAAGAGCTCTAGTGCCCTTTTTTTCGCTACAACTGCACTTGGCCTGTGGAAGAACGGTAGGCCAGTTTCGTCCATGTTCCAAATGGTGTGTGGCTTGTCCTGGAGTCCCACTTGTCATGGACCGTGGTCAGTAGAGAGTTAAAACTCTTGTCAATAACAGCAGTCTCGTTCAGCATACAGAAGCGTCTGTTCTCACACGGTTCTTGCTTCCTAATTGTCAGCTCGGGATAACGCTTTTTAAAATCTCGCCAGTAGTCGTTTCCTTCCAGGAATAGCTTTAGGCCCAAATTGAGTTTTAAGGTTTAGTTTCTTGGCTAATCTCCTCGCTTTAACTCACTCGGGACCAGCCCTATTTTCGGACACAAACCCTTGGGACCTGGGTTTTAGGAGGGTTTTCAAAAGATTATTTAGTGGTGTTGTTGTTGGGTTACAAAGCTGAAATTTGGCACACTTACAGATACAGCCTTTCTAAACACAGTGCATTTAACGAAAATCCTCTATGTTGGATACTTTTTTTCCCACGATTTTTCAAAAACACACCCTTTTTGAGAAATTCAAAAAAAAATTTTTCAGCATCCATGATACAACCCTGGCTAGGTTGTTACCTATATTTGCTGTAAAAAGACCCTAAAAGTAAAGATTGATAACTGTTATTGTGCAAGGCATGTGTATGCTTGGAATTCTGGTGAAAAAGAGACTACATTTTGCATCAAAACCCACATGGTTAGCACAGACAGAGGTTGAGAGAAAATACGAGAAGCCTCGTGAAAAAGCAAAACAAAACATACATGCAAAAACATGCAGTTTGACTCACCAAAGGCTTGTGTATCCAATAAGTATATACTCCAGTAATCCAGGGGGCAGGGGGTTTAGTTACAGTACTCCTTCTTTGTGTGGAAGTCCTGAAAGCAGGGGATCACACACAGGGGTACTTTGTGGTATGGGCACCAGAACGACGTCTCTTTCCGCTTCATTGTGGAGCCCGGTTGCTTCGCCTTCTCATAGCACACCTTGCAACTCCGGGTGGGACGTTTCTTCTTCTCAGTTGAAGGAATGTAGTCCGGGAAGCAACGTGAGTGAAGGCGGTCAAGCTGTGTGGGAGCTGGGTCCTCGGAATCTCCTGGACTCCTTCTTGCCAGCCCAAGAATTCCTCCGCCATGCCCTGTCCAAGCTTCTGGATGAACTTGGAAATCGGCAGAGGCTTCCCACCTGTTGACGTCTGTTTCCTGTTGTACAGGATGGATGCCTGCACCATCATGAGGGTAAACAGATACCCAAACAGTTTTTTCCACCATTTCATGGTGCGGCAATGGAAGGGCATATAGACCATGAGTTGGTCGCTGCGGTCTACACCCCTCATGTTGAGAGTGTAATCCTGGACCACCTGCGGTTTCTCCTTGGTCTGGGCCCTTGATCTCACTGTCACCCTTCTCCGTGGGTCATGCACCGTTGTCAGAAGGTTGACAGACTTTTTATCCTGCCACCAGTTTGTCTTGCCGTCGGTACGCACTCTCTTCAGTCCTTAGATTTAGCGCTGCCAAATCCTTCGGCATACCAACACGGTTGGCTCTTACCGTACCAACAATCATGGTTCCGCCTGCGATCATCTCTTGGTACAAAGCTGGACAGGTGTAGTAGTTGTCCGTGTACAAAATGTACCCTTTGTTCATCAGCGGCATCATCATTCGTCGGCACACATCCACGGGTTTGTTGCTGATGGTAGGGTCGCCGGCATAAATTTCAAAGGCACAGACGTACGCGGAGGCACTCTCGCACAGCATGTACAGCTTGATCCTCCACTTGCTGGGCTTGTCTTTCATGTACACCCTGAACCGCAGGTTTCCCCTCCATGGGCAGATGGCTTCATCGATGACGAGTTTCTGTTGAGGGGTCACGAGGTCTCGGAAAGTAGCAGAAAGGGGATCGATAATTGGTCGCAGCTTATGGAGAGGGTCATGACCAGTTTCTCGGAGGGGGATGTACGTGGTGTTGTCGTTGAGATGCAGGAGGCCAAGAATCTGCATGAAACGGTTCCTTGACATTATTTTGGAGGCGAACGATGTGCGGATGATTTCTGCCGTACTCCAGTAGTCCTTCAGACAGGGTTTCTTGACCAGTGACATGTGCACCCAGATGGTGAAGAACCCCCACAACTCCTTCAGTGTCACTGTGCTCCAGTTCTTGTAGAGACTCTCAGGGGGCAGCTGTCTTCGACCCAGCTCTGAAGCAGCGCACCTGTTCGTCTCTGTCTTGATAACTCGTAGGATGTCTGCCGTGAAGAAGAGACGGAAAAAATCCAAAGGAGTCACGACATTATCTGGTACGTGCACGCCAGGCTGCCCAGTAAAGGGGACCCCAGGAGGAAACCCAGTCAGATCCTCAGTCCAGTCACCTGAGGTGCAGGCGCAGGTGCCACATCACCAGACGGTCGCATGCGTTTAGGAGGCGGTCCTGCAGACGTTGAAGGTCCTGGGTCGGCATCGTCGCTGTCCTCATCAGGACCTGAAAGTATAAACATGAATGTTCGAAAAATTTAGACGACTCAAAATAACAGAGCATCAATTTCAATTTTATAATGCTTGCCTGAGTTAGAAACAGAATCTAAAAATCTACATCTAGATGTAAATAAGAGCAATGATACAGGATCTTGGGCTGACAAAATAAATCTTAGTCTGGACCTGACTTGGTACTACGGAATGACTTCAGTTCTAGATCTAGATCTAGTAGAAAATAGCTTGGTAGTGATTCACAAGCACAAAATAGCCTCCTAGATCTAAATCTTGATTTTTAGATCTGTACTAAAACAAAATAAAATCTAATGTAGATCTAGATTGTTATCTTTGTCATGATGAAATGAGGTACAAGAAGTAAACACAAAAAGTAGGCGTGGCATTGTTTACTTCTCGAAAGTGATAGATCTAGATCTAAACTTGCTCCATCAAAAACAAAATTCTCTCCTCAGTCGTGATAGTCAGTCCCGAGATGCAGTGACAACACCCTATTATCGCCAAGATGTAAATATTTCTCACCTGAATCAAAAAATTCCCCATCAGAATCAGTTTCTTCAACATCGGAGTCGAGCGTCTGGAAGAACTCAATCACTTCAGTAGCCTTTTTTCGCTGGGGTCGAGACATGATTTGATGTCGATCGAAAAACAAACTTCGAAATCTCCCTCGTTCGTTGAGAGTCACTCTTCTTTAGGTCACCGGAAGAAGGAATGGATCGAGTACCCGGATATTACAATAAACATGGATAATATATGGGATTGGACGATTTTTCGGGTTTTTATTCTCATCACGAGTTCGAGTTAACTCGTGATCGGTCCTCAGGCGACGGGAAGCCATCACGAGATAACTCGTGATTGGTCCCCAGTGAGTTAATGAGGATCATCCTTTTGGTAAAGGAAAACCCTCTGGAGCTTCCTCTAAGATTTTCTTCACCATTTTTGATTCAATTTCTTTCGGAATGCTTTGCATCCGTCCAGGCGTCCTAGCCACGGTTGATCGGCCTGCTACATGGTCTATTAATGATTAACGTGGCTTTGGGGATGTTGTACTCATTTGAGGCCTTGATATTACTAAGGCCGTTTTTGATGGCTTGGACAGCCTTCGTTTAGGTCGTCAGTTAAGTACTTTCTGTACAGCATTCTGTGAACAGAAATGAGTCTACGAAATTATGTTTAGGGAAACGTGGTCAGGGATTTTAAGTGTTTTCAACATCAATTTTAAGTCTAAAATTGCATGGTGATTGCGTGGACGGACTTGAAGATCTTATTCATTACTGCACTTTAAACTCCTGCTATATTATATACATGTATATTAATTCAAATAAAGAAAAGAAAAATATTTTAGGTTATCGATAGCTGAAATTAGGACTTGGGAAGACGAATTACAAAATTAAAAAAATATAAAAAATGAAGGTCGAAGTTGCCTCATCCTGGTCGAAGTTGTGCCAAGCCCGGGTCGAAATGAAACTTACCCCAGGTCGAATTTAACTAATTTAGGCACACGAGTAAAATAACAGGGTGTTTAGGAAAACTGCCTGTCAGTAAATAAATAATGTTTATTTTTGTTAGCCAAAGAAATTTATTAATAATGAACGAAAGTGGGGTAAACGGATGAATTGGGTGGGCATGGTAGCGCACATCAGCGATTCGGGGGTCAGCGGTGACGCTGCACATTGGCGCCTCCAAGTGGCAAATGGTTAAGAAGAGGCGATGCTTTGTGCATGTCTGTCTGAGTGACGTACTGCGTGCATGCACGCGCATGAGAGTGTGAGTACACAAGTCTGGTCACATTCCTGTGTTTGTATGTGTACGAGACGACAGCTTTTATGATCACTACCGTACATATTATTATATGTACCTTATTACATTGTATATATTTTGTAAAATATACATGTTCATGCCCTTGACTCTTTTATGTTCTTGATTAATAAAAATGTTGTTACAATAAACTTAATAAAGTTTGTTTGATCTAATTTTGTTGAATGCCTAGTTTCAATAATATATCTCACTTTCTTTTGTGGGTGGTTAGTGGACGCTCGGGTCTAATTGATTTTTATTTCACGTCAAACTTCTCTATCGTCCTTTAACTCTTTCTTCCTTCTTTTGTTCTGTGTAATTACTCATTTGTAACACCTCTAGTCTTTGGCACAGTGGGTGGTGAGCGGGTGCTCTGGTGTGGTTTGCTTCTTCTTTCCTATCAAACATCTATTGTCCTTATCTCTCCTCCGTTTTTGTTACTCTCTTGTGACACCTCTAATCTTTGGCAGTTAGATCTATATTATGAAATTATTGTGTTGCAAGTGCCGTAAAACACGTACTAAAACTAAAACTTTAAAAAATCTTTGACACTTAAAAGAGCAATGTTGCAAATGCCCTAAAACTTAATAAAACTTAAAGGTAAACACTTTCTCACGCTAGTTTATGAAGCATGGCACTACATGTATCTTCTGTGATGTTCACTTGCCTTTTCCGAAAAAGGAAGTTTACCGACGGAAGGTTGAAAGATGTCACTTCCGACTTCTTTACTTTCCTCTGTTTCTGTCTGTCCTACCTTTTCTTAGCACTAAATTACCATTATCGGGTCCTTGTGCTTCTCTTTACCCAAACAACCAAAGGGGGGATATTTATATGTTCTTTTGCACAGTAGAATTGTAAATGAGCTGATTTATCAATGTCATGCTCCTACTGTGCCGGAACGACATAGGGGGAACTGCTGCTTTTTCTTTCCTCTTCCTTACTATCATCACTTCACCCCTACTTCATAGTACTTCTTTTGTGTGTTTGTCACTCTCTTGTGAACTGCTATTTCCGGGGTGCCTTGATAGTCGAAGCAGACTTTGTGCTGTTGAGGCTTGAGAGGTGAGCAGAGTAAGCCTGATTCCCCGTTTGGACTTCTCTGTTGACATCCACCCCTTGGCGCTCATATGACCTTATGCAGTTGCGAGTGCTGTAAAGCCTTACTAAAACTAAAACTTTCCCTGTTTCTGTCTGTTCTACCTTTTCTTTGCACTAAACTACCATTATTGGGTCATTGTGCTTCGTTTTACTCAAACAAACAAACAAAGGAACTTTACTCTTGTCTCCTCACAATGCCTCCAGCCTCGTGCTGTTATTTACCGTACCTTTTACTTTGTCCGAATGATTGTGGTAGGGCTAACAGAACACACAGATATGAGTGGTTGGAGGGTGCCACTGGTTGGTCCTACTTCTTTTCTTTCCCTATTGTTCCTGCCTCTCTGCTTTTTTCCAGCTTTACGATTACTGTTCTGTGGCTTTTCTTTTTGCTTAAAAAATCCCATCCCAAAACCCAATAGATTACTACTTATTGCTGTGTGTCAAGGATCCTTTGGCATCTCATACAATGACCACGTCACAAATGAGGAAGAGCGCAGTAGAGAGAAACAACACATGAGTCACTATTTAGACTTGCTGTCTAGTGTGAAGGGAAGAAAAACAAATTGGTATGGTCATGTAACAAGATCGTGTGGCCTATCTAAGACCATTCTTCAAGGAATTGCAGGGGGGGGGGGGGGGGGGTGGAGAAGGAGAGGAAGGCAAAGAAAGAGTTAGACCGATACAATTGCAGAATGGACAGGGAAATCCTTCGCCCAAACTCAGGCGCTCGCAAAAGATTGAGAAAAGTGGCGACACCTGACAAGGCTCTCTATCATACAGAGCCCCTATGACCCTCGTGGATTACGGTATCCAGTAATCAGTAAGTATAGGAGACTGGCATCTGTGGTGTAGTGGTCAAGTGGTTCTCTGTCGCATGAAGGAGACCTGATGTGAGAGACTATGCTGGGATGTTGTTTCCCTCTCAGCCTAGGTTGGCCCTGACAGTAGGCATGGTTGAGAAGTCGCCTCCTAAATGATCTTGGTTGTGTTGATGGGGGCATAAAAACACCTGCTACATTTTAGTTTTAGTTTTAGTAAGAGTTTTACGGCGCTCGTAACTGCATAAGGTCATATGAGCGCCAGAAGATTAGAGGTGTTACAAGAGAGTAACAAACATAAAAGAGAAGAAGGGGAGATAAGGACGAAAGATGTTTGATAGGAAAGAAGAAGCAAACCACACTAGAGCACCCGCCAACCACCCACTGCTACATTTTAAAAACTCCCAGCAGTTCATGCAGTGCTATATCGTATAAATATATACAATGTAAAAAATATATATACGATGGCCGGTGATGTAGTTTTTCGCCCATAAAATACATTTACTTTTATAAATAATAAAGTTCCATTTGTATATGATATATATATATCTATCTGGAGCAGATAGATTATTGTATGAGGCTTGAGGGTATGGGGGACCCCTGAAACAAATGAAAAAGCCAAAAGAGGCAAAAGGGCTGGGAGTTAATGGATGAGATGCTGACTGGTGTCAGTGGTGTAATGGTGGTAAAGCTTTTTGCTGGTGCATAATGCATCTGGAAGATTGTTCTAGAGTGCAGAAGTCATTTTGCCGAGTATTTCTATCTGTCTGCTGGGATATGGTATCCTTTCAGCCCAGGCTGGCCTTGACAGACCAGGGTAAAAGCAATCTGCTTCTCTACTTTCAAACCATCTAAATTGTGTCAATGAGGGCGTAAATGACTTAACATAAAGAGCTCTATTATATAAGGGATGTTAGAATCTGTTTTGGTAAGAGTTTTGCGGCACTTGCAACAAAAAACAGGTCATATAAGTGCCAAAATTAGAGGTGTGACAAGATTAGAGAGTGACAAACATATATATAAAAAAAGGAGGGGAGATCAGGACGATAGATGTTAAACAGAAAAGAAGAAGCAAGCTACACCAGAGCACCCGACAACCACCTACTGTTAGAATCTGAGGTAGACCAGTAGGCAACACAACTTTACTCAAAATGAAAGAATAAAACACCTACTATTTTTGGAGAAAAAAAAGCAACAAAAAACAGAAACAATTTTATATATATAAAAGGCTAGGCCTACTTGTCATTTATTTTCGTTTTCTTTTTCTTTTTCACTTTTTTCATGGGGCAGACAATAACAAAAGGCGCCATATCTTGTGTGATGTATTCAGCCAAAAGGGCGACAAGTTCCGTCACACTGCGCCTCTCTCTGTAAGCTGACACGACAGCTTCTTTGAGCCCAGGTACGAAGGTGTCGCTCTTGACCCCCACAGCGAGAGGTTGTGGACGTCCGACGCTGAGGAGAAAGCGCAAGATGTGAAGAGGAAATGTGAACTCCGTCAAAACTGAAATCGCTGAAAAAGAAACTTTAACATGATGTCACGGTCAGAGGCTACTGTGTGCACCTAACACTTGAGGAACTGATCGATGATGATGCCATCCGCAGAGAGTTTGAGGAACAGAATGAGAGAAGGGCTTTTTTGAGAGATGAAAGTCTCCTGCCCCTTTACTCGATAACAATCCCAAGTTTTAAGGAACAAAAGGTGCATTACAATACATTTTACGAATTTAGACTGATGTTGCGAATATAAAGTGAATAGCAATACTGCACAAATGGTGCTACATTTTGGTTTTCTGAGTGTTAGTGAGGGTTGCCGGATGAGTGTGACAATCAGGTTGAGCGAGTCAAACTGTATCCGCATTCTTCACTCCAACTTTTCTGACTAATTTTATCTCAACCACTTGGACTTGGACAACTTACACACTCTTCGGCCATTTGAACTTCTACTCAAAACTGAGCACTGGGAAAAATGATAAGGAAATACTTGTGGGTGTTTGGAGGTTGCCACTGTTGTCACTCTTTCTCCTGAGCATTTAATGACCATTATTGCTCCACATGCTTTTCTTTACACAACAAATTATTTTTACCCCCTGGGGCAGTGCCACTGACTGTAGTGTCTTTAGGCCATTCCCAAAGGGGGGACATTTCTCATTCAAGAACAGTAGAATTGTAAATGGGCTGATTCATGTCACGCTCATAACCGTGCCTGATCTACAACAGGGAACTGCTGCTTTTTCTTTCCTAATTCTTACTATTGTCATTTTCCTCTACTTCTTTTGTATGTTTGTCACACTCTTGTGACCTGCTATTTCAGGGGTGCCTTGATAGTTGAAGCAGACCTTGTGCTGTTGAAGCTAGAGAGGTGAGCAGAATAAGTCTGATTCCCTGTAAAGACTACTCTGTTGACACCCACCCCTTGGCGCTCATATGACCTTATGCAGTTGCGAGCGCCGTAAACCCCTCTACTATAAAAAAAATAAACAAAACAATTTATGGCCATTATTGTTTTGAAGTGCTTCTCTATACTCAAAGATTGATTGTTATTGTGTCAATGTGTTTCCCTTTACTAAAAAAATGCAGAAGAAAAAAATAAAAAGAGGAAAAGACTCACTGTACACAGGGCCACAAAGATGTAGCCTTGATCATCACTTGAATGTGCACGTGCTGACACAGGACTGTGAACCCCAGAAGTTCAAGGACGTTCTCTCCCTGACGCTCAAGAGAGTAGGTCACGTTACTGACGGTGCTGGACTCGGGAGTTGTTGAGCTTTTATCTGTGGACGACATGAAGGTTGAGCAGCAAGTTAAAATAAATGAGATTTAAGTTAGCTCAAAGAAGAAACATTAAAAGAACAAAATGCAAAAGATGTTTCAATACCATACAGTGGAATCCACTTATAACGAGTCCTGAAATAACGAGAAGTCTGTTATAAAGACACTATTCTAAAACCCCGTTTTTTCCCCTTCTTTATCTTTGTAAATAAAATACTGCTATTTAACGCAATTAGACAAACATGTGAGTTGGTTATAGCGGAATATTGATGTTGCTGTGCACAGCAAAACCTCGCCAGTTGTTGGTGATCTTGCAAAACAAAGAATGGGAAAGCCCACGTGTGCTAACAATGAAGGCGGAGCGAATGAATGGGGAGGATGTGGTATGCACAGACAAGCAGAACTCATCGCGTGATAGGCCAGCCTAGTCTAGATTATTTAGGCCTATCACGCCTCTCACTTCTCCGATGCGGAGATGGAGAGGTCACAACGATGTGACTGTGATGGATGGAGCGAATGTGTGGCATGCACAGGAAGACGGAACGCACCACAGGGTGTGGTGGGGTGGGGGGACAACACAGCGGACGAGTTAGCCTAGAGAACTTTATTTCTGATCGCCGACACTGAGCTGTCAACATCGCTAGCGCTAGAGAAAGAAACCTTATTCGATTTTTGATCAAATAAGACCTAGAGATCATGTTGAACCAAATCATCATCAGGGGAGATTACAAAAAGAAATGAACAGACAACCAGACTCATAGATTCGGCCTACTGCACGTTTTCCCTTAAATTTATTACTGGATTCCTAATAACGAGAATCCCGCTATAACGGATGTTTTGCACTGGTCCCCTCCCTCTCGTTACAACTACAACAGGATTCCACTGTATTACATTTCTGAATAGTACAAACGTTCCCCACTGATACTCTGTCTAAGAAGGTGAATATATTATGCTGTGACAAAAATCTAAATCTGAACCAACATGGAGCTCCTAAGGAACCGTAACATGTTGCTCAAGGGTCAAATTACAAAAGGGCTATTATGATCACAGAAGCAGGTTAATTTGTAAAAAAAATTGAGGCTTTATTTCACTAGACAGGAATAATGTTTTATATATATATATATATATATATATATATATATATATATATATATATATATATATATATATATATATATATATATATATATATAGGGTGACCTTATTTAGGCCACACTGTGGCCTAAATAAGCTAAACCCCCCTCCCTTACCTTATTTAGGCCACACTGAGGCCCAAATAAGCTAAACCCCCCTCCCTTATCTTATTTAGGCCACATCATATGGTAGGTTTCTTGAACTAACCATGGATTCGGAAGGTCGAGATTCTAATTCTACTGATCTTTTTATTTAGTGCGGTGGATTATTTCAAAATAGAGGATGATACTAAATGATAAGTGGACCAAGAGTAAGAGTTGTGTGTCTGTGTGTGTGAGTATGTGTTTGTTTTGTGTGTGGTTGTGGTGAGAGAGAGAGAGATCTAGAGAGACAGAGTAAATGCAATAGTGTGTTTGTATGTGTGTAGGTGTGTAATGTGTGAATGTTATTGTGTACATGAGTGTCTATCTCAGTTGTACGGTCCAAATGTACATTATTTTGTTGAGAATTTTACATAGAACTCAACTACAAAGCACCTTTATACAAATTCACAGAAATATTCTTTTTGTGCTTATTGAGGTGCAGTACATGGTGATTTTACCTGCAAGGATTTAATTGGACAAAATGGGCAATATCTTTATAATGCTAATACTAATGGTCATATTTAGACAAATCCTATATCATTCTCTTTTTTTCTTAACAGCTCATGGTTATTAAAGAGTAAGCAAACTAGATCAAGGTAGTAATTTCGGATTCCTAATATTATGGGCATTCTTTAAAATTGTTAACTTTTTAGCGCTTTTCTCAACATAAAACGGATTGGGTTAAAAAACAACAACAACAATGACCTTATCTTTCTTTTTCAAGGTATTGTGCATACATCTGTGTGAAACTATTATATTCTATGCTTTCAAGTACATGAAAAAAGCTAATAAAGTCAAGTAAAATGTTCTTCAGAGACATAGATCTAGTAGTAGGCCCACTGGAACATTTTATAAACCGTGAAAAGATTACCAGAAAATAACAAAATTATCTTATGATCTTCACTTGCACTTGCATTTTTTTGTACAAATTATAGTCTACCTCATTATCTTTTTTTCCCCACATTTTTCTTCACTATTCATGACAACTGGCATGTTTTTCAGTTATTATCAAGGAAGTGGATAGGCGGACCACGGGGTCTATCTAGCCCCAAAAGGATAGGTGGACCCCGGGGTCTACATAACAAAATGCTGTTTTAGGATGTGAACCCCGGAGTCAGCGGAGTGAAATAAGTAGATCTAGGTTTAACTAAGGATCGGTGGACCCCGGCGTCAACATAGTGAAATAAGTAGATCTCAGTCTATTTTATAATAGGACTGGCGGAGCCCGTGGTCAACGTAGTGAAATTATAAGTAGATCTAGGTTTAATAAGGATTGGTGGACCCCGGGTCAACGTAGTGAAATAAGTACACGTAGATCTAGGTTTAATTTTAAAGATTGGTGGACCCTAGAGTCAACGTAGTGAAATAGGTAGGTTTAAGGTGGACCCCAGGGTCTACCTAACGAAATACTAGTTAGGTTTTAGAATAGGTGGACCATGCAGTCACCGTAGTAAAATAAGTAGGTTTAATCACGGTGTCCCGGGGGTCCACCAATCCTTAATTAAACCTTCTTATTCTTCTACGGCTATGGTGTCTCCGGGGTCCACCAATCCTTTTAAAATTAAACCTACTTATTTCACTACGATGACCCCGGGGTCCAACGATCTTTAAAGAAACCTAGAGAATCTACTTATTTCACTACGGTGACCCCGGGGTCCACCTGTCCTAAAACCTAGTATTTTGCTAGATAGACCCCGAGCCCCGGGGTCCACCTTAAACCTGCTTATTTATCACTACGTTGACCCCGGGGTCCACCAATCCTTACTTAAACCAAACCTTATTTCACTACGGTGACTCCGGTATTCACACCCTAAAACCTAGTATTCCGCTATGCAGACCCCGGAGTCCACCTATCCTCTGCAGGACTATACTATTATCAATTTGCAATTTTCATTGATTAGCATATTTAAAAAAAAAATTGAATCAGAGACTCACTGTCTAAAAAGTCCACTGTTAATGCTATTCTTATCAAAGAAAAGGCACAATTTGACTTTATGACATGTTAAAAAAAAAAGAGTTTTAAAAATATCCAGAAAATAAAATAAAATGATTATATAGATCTAGATCTAAACGTATTTTATTATGTATATATATATACTTAAAAGTAAAAGACTGAGCAGAGGCTTACAATGCAAATTCTGTGCTCTACAAGTAGATTAGTAGAGAAAGTCTTAAGTTTGCGCAAAACAGATTTTAGAAAAAAAAGTTGGATCTAATTATTCTAATAATAGTAAAAGTGATTGTTATGGTGAGATTTGTTATTATTAACTCTAGAAATACAGATAGTTGCTGAATCTAAAATTAACTAGAACTGTACAATTCGTTTTATTTCAATTCCAAAGCCCAAAGGCATAGCAATGAGTTAGATCTAGATCTAGCAGTTGTAGGCTCTCTGGCTGCTTCTAGAATAGGCCTGCTACTACTGATTCTAGACAGGGAATCTAGATCTAGCTATCACCTGCACTATTAAAGTCAAATATATGGTAAAATAAAAACAAAACTGTGAATCCCTTTATCAGTCAGTACATCCCAATTGCCATAGTCGCACGTATTAATAATTATACCGAAGCAACACGTTATCACAGTGTTCAGGGGAGAGTGGGGTGCCCGGGTCGCTGATCAGTCGATTCGGTGGTTTGGCTTTTGTAGATCTATGCATTCATTTATTATTTTTTTTGCGGAAAGCCCTATTACTAGATCTATTAGTGTTGTGAAAACTTTAACCTCTACAGCTAAGGCGTCAAAGGATGTTGGAAAATAATAATACGTCCTGAAGTTTCATAACTTATACAGAATAACACAGCCAGTAGTTTTTATTTCATCGAGTTTTAAAAATGGCCTTGTAACTTGTTAGTTTTCAGAAGCAAATTTTAATAGTTCCAGTTCTACCGAATCGATTTTCACGCAAATTCAACCATTTTGATGACCTTTCTTTTCCTTTTAAAAAGATGTAGGCCTGTCGGATGTGGCAGTGCGATTAACACTAAGTTGTTTAGACCCATCAAAACACGAGGCTTCGTGGCCGATCACAAAGGTCTACGGGGCTCATCGAGGCCGATTCGCCCTGCCGCGTGCACGTTCACTAAACTGCCTACTAGATAGAATCTACTACCAAAGATTCTCTACACGATCTTTGCTACTACTACTACTAGATCTACATGTACTACTACGAGACTGTACGAGGGATGTACTAGTACGAGACAGTACGAGAGAGTGCCACCCAGCCAAAGATAGTGTAACTTTGACTCAGCCACGTTGTGTACACACTTTTTATACCCCAAATTTGACCCGGAAGTCCATTCGGAGGATTTGACCTTTTCACTTGACCAAAGTGTGCCAAAATGGTAGCCTAGATTTTGTCCCTCCATAAAGGAAAAATCTGGCCCTCATTCAAACTTTTGGGGTTGAGCAAAATTTTGCGTATCATGCTTTGTTCTTACAATATCATTATGATATATATATATATATATATATATATATATATATATATATATATATATATATATATATATATATAAGTTGTACACTGAGACAAAACTGTACTAAATGAGAAGGGTGCACCATTATGAAAGTGGAACGAACTCAGTTGCCTGAAAAGGGTGTCCCCCGGTAGTTTGAGCATGTGTGGCCTAAATAAGCTAAACCCCCCTCCCTTACCTTATTTAGGCCACACTGAGGCCCAAATAAGCTAAACCCCCCTCCCTTACCTTATTTAGGCCATATGTGGCCTAAATAAGCACTCCCATATATATATATATATATATATATATATATATATATATATATATATATATATATATATATATATATATATATATACCATGATCCCAGACCTACTGCCCACACCCCAGGACAATGTCCAGCACCTACCTGTCTCTGAATGGGCTGCTCTCAGTTGTCTTAGGCTTTCTGACCACATTTTTAACGTGGAGTAACTTGCTGGTAGACAATCTGAAATACAGTACCGTACATGAATATATATTACAATGATAATTAGTCCCTACACAGATCAGAAAGGCTAAAGAGACAGAGGTAAACCACAAATCACCTACTTAGAGTCAGAGAACGTGAACAGATGGTTGATGGGGAGAGAATATTAGACACAATACAGGATTTTATATTTTGCATCCAAGTTGCGAACCAAGACTGCTGATACTTGTATCACATCTGGCAGTTGAGGGGGATAGCAGTCAATAATAGATACAACATATCTTTGACTAAACCGACTTGAGTTTGAGACAAGTGAGTCAAAAAAAGTCTCAACCATATCTGGGAATAAAATCATGACTTGCCTCAAATTGTGTTTAAATGCCTCTTCATGGAGGAAAATCTGATCAACCCCCTGCATAATCCAACTGGACTTGATTAGCAGTGTATATTAGGCATTACGAATCTATTTGCTTTGACTTTGACAATATTCCTACATTATAATAATAACAACAAAAAGCATTTATGCTGCGCATTTCCATTTTCTAAAAAATGCTCAATGCGCATTGGAGTCTGTCACATGCAAAAATATATTTGAAAATAAATTTCAGCCTAAAGGCAAAATCTTAATAACCACAAAATCATTTCTGCAAAATACTCCAGAGTGCTTCAAACTCAATAAAAACGCCTCACCAGTGAGAAGATCATTTTGTTCTTGAACAAATTGATTTTCCATCTTTCGTCTCTCGTATTCCTTTTGTTTGTCCTTGATCTTCAGCTCGATGTGGTGGATCTCCTTTACCAGAGGCAGGATGTACCTGTAGCTGATCAAGACAAGCATTTGGATTGATCATTATACAAAAATGGAAATCAGTCATATCTACTTTTAAAATTTGAAAAATCCTTTGTCCCTATCACCTTTCTTAAAATTAGAAAATTGAGATACAAAGACTTGAAAAGGTGTAGTTATTAAAAATATACAAACCTTCAGCATCTCCTTCTGTGCACGTTGGAATATGCGTTGACGTTACCTTTACCGTCCAGTAACAACTTTTACCATTTATGACTAACACTTTTCAATGTAATCTCACGCATTGGTCGTCTGTTTTATCCTTCGTCTTTTTTTCCCCACTTTCAGAATCTAAAAGAGCCACCAGGAACAATACACACGCTTAGTCATAATATGACGATTTTTTACTATACCGTTCAGATGTACAAACACATATATGACTAACACCAATAGTTTCCTCTCATCTGTTTCTGAATATTAACGCACATTAGTGCAGTGAGTCGGTATTTCTGGGTTTTTTCACCACTCATTCAATGCCTTTGCAGTCATACCCCTGATCGGAGAATTCTTTACAAAACTGTGGTGTTTTGTTCTATTATCAGCGAAAGCCCCCCCACCCCCTTTTCCAAAGACAGACATAAAATATTATGGTTGCATCCCTTCCACCTTCAACAGGTTCACACAAACCCATGCTATGTGTAAACGCATGCCGAGCAGACCCCTTGATGAGCACTGTGCATTTAGGAGGAGAGTACTGTATTAGATTAACGCACATACACATAACATATGTTCAATAAGAACTGTAAAATGGCTGCCACATTCAAATGAAACAAATCCTGTTGATATGTCAAATCTTAAAAAGCCAAAGAAACCACTTACTGTTTCAATATAGCACCTGATGGCTGAATAGGTTCTTTGATCTGAAGTCTCTCAACAAGCTCTCCATGTTCTTGTGTAAAGTTTGACAATGATTCATCTGCTTCATTTTGATCAACTTTTATCTGTGAAATAATCACAATGTAATTATTAATTAATAGGCTAATATGGTGGCGTATCGAACAGAAATTTTCAGGATTGCTGATTTTCAGTTTAAGAGAGGTTGGGCATACAGAAGAGGGATGAACAGAATTTGGAAGTGAGAGAGACAAGAGAGTGGTGTTTGGGGGGGGGGGGGGGGGGGAGATGCAAGTGTCCACAGATTGCAAAACTGACACGAGTTAGCTCTCTCACTGCATTCCTAAGTACGAGTTAGCTACACTACAACTATCACTATTGATATTTTTGTTTATTCCCACATGTACAAAAGTGAAAATGTACGTTGTAAACAGGCTGTCATTTAACCCATATCCGTACGTCGTGTTTTACTAATCGTATCCATACGACGAGGGGAGCTCTGTGCCACCACTTTCCAAAGAGGAAATTAAATCTATTAAATCCTTTCCGTACGCTTTGCATAGCAGTCAGTCAAAATGATTTTTTGAGAAATACTGAAAGTATCACAAAGAGATCTTCGTATGAGAAGTATTCTAAAATGTGAAGAATACAAATACAACCCTGAGGGTACACAATAACGACAATGCACCCCGAGGTGTAGGCCTACGGATAGGGTTAAAAAATCCCTAGAGCCTGGATCAAGAAATAGAAAAGAAAACTGAAACATTAGGTTAATATTGACGCAGAATCTAGGGCAATTGTTAAGATTCCCGCATTTAAATTCCGATGTGTGTTTTTCATAGCCTGAGTGCCTCAGGCATGTTTTGCTTTGGTCCCTAGCCCTAACCCTGACCCTAAATCTAGATCTAACCCTAACCCTGAAAAACGCATATCGGAATTAAACGCGGTCTTAACAATCGCCGAATCTAGTTTAGTGAAAAGTGTTACAACAATGAATGGGTGCATCATATGTAATTTTTTGAAAGAATGACAGTGAGCATTTTTTTAAACTTCGAAATAGATCAACGGTAACATGTAACTACAATCCATCAATGATTCCATTTGATATTGTATCAAATAGATCTAGATCTAGATCTAGAAAAACTAGGTCTTGATCTACTATAGATCGCTACACCGGCACTGGCACCTGCCGTATCGCCGTTCTTCATCTTCATCACAAAAACTCACACTTGAGACTCGAGAGTCAAGAGTTCAAGTAGGAACCCCCAACAATTCATCAGTTAGCCAAAGTAATTAGATCTACCTTAACAAGACGAGCTTGCAGTTGTGACAGCACTTCACCACAATCTTGTGGTGTTTCCATTGTTCATGTAGCATAGATGTTCTGAATTCAGTTTGTAAAATTCTGCAGGAAATATCCAGCAGTCGCTCGCACTCGCCGACTTGTTGACGTTATGGGACTGAAAGTGATTTCTTACCAAGAAAAGCTTGCAAAGAGAAAACATGATTCTATTGCTGGTATAGGAAGAGAAAATTAAAAAAAAAAAAATTATAATCCCAATTTACTTTTGTATCTTTGTATGTATTTCAAACAGAACTTATTATATATCTTCTGTTTTCAAAATAATGAACATTTGAATTTTATGTCTTATCTTTTCAGAGAACAGTGTATTGTCATCCGTATCTAAACCATGTTTTAACGGTAGTCACAATACACTTCCGGATATTACCTCCTGGACAGTTTGCTCCCGGTTTGAGAACAGCAGTAACTGTTGTTGTTCAGTTTGTAAATAAACATGCCCAAATCGCCTTCCAAAACTTCCAAGAAAAAGAAATATAATGCACGTTTTCCGCCTGTAAGCATACAAACAGAAGATGTATTTGAATGTATTTTAGCTTTGATGTTTGATTTTTATGTTCAGTTTGTCACAGACGTAGATTAGAGTGACTGTTGTGAATCGAGTGAGAGTGAGTGTATCATATATTGAATATTGAAATTGAATTATATTGGATTGTCAATATCGATGTCAGTGTATCACCCATGCCAGTGCTGTGGTCACCTGTTTCACTTTATCAGTTCAATTCGAAATTAATAATCTATACAAATTTGATAAGCCTCTAAAATACAACAATATGGGATATTTTTTTTCATATATTCTCAATTGTTGACATGTGTTATTTATCACATCATATCTCAGCCTTGCCCTTGTCACGCCTTGTGCCTTGCCCTCATCTGTCACTTACTTCTGTTGGTCAGTGACTGGCTTTTTTATATTGTAGAAACTTCTCAAGTTCATAGACTATCTGTATGCTAGAAAAGTAACTTCTAAATGGTGCTTGGAGAAACTTATAAAGAACATTTTGAGTGAACATGACGTAGAGGCTACTAGACTAGTACTAGACCTTTTAAAAATCTATTTTAATAATAGATTGCTTTGTCGTTTCACTTTTAAGCCAATGATAACGTGACAGAATATTATACAGCAAGAAATATACTTGCCAATTTCGGTAAGCCCTGGTTTTCATGTTCAGAGTGTATGTATGTTCAAAGAAATGTTCCTTTCTTTTAAAATTTTAGATTAGCTATAAGATTTTCTGACAATGCACTTTATTTTATGGTTGCTGAGCTACACATTTTATTATATATATATTCTGTTGGTTTTCTTTTACTCAGGCAAGGATCAAGAAAATCATGCAGACGGATGAAGAAGTTGGAAAAGTGGCTGCTGCCGTACCGGTCATCATTTGTATCCTTTGACCTGTAGGAGAGTGGAGTGTTTTTGTCGTGCTTTTTGTCAATTAATCTTTATTGCTAGACATTGGAACCTGTCTGAGTACACTACGACAGCCAACCATTTTTGAGGAGAAAAGAGCACGTCCTAGGCAGGACTGATTAAAATGACGGAAGAAAGCAAAGCATTCCCTTCTAAGGCCCTAAGCAGAGGCGGTCTCAGGCTCAAGACTGCCATTAGGCTCGTTAAACTGTCAGGATTTTTTTGCTTTAGGAGGGAGGTTAGAAAGGGAGGTTTGGTGGCTGCTGTGATTATTTAATTTGATTCTTATACTATTATGATGTGAAATTTTATCATCGCTATGCAGAAGAAAATGACACAATTTCTCGCAATGTTACTTTTGCTGGTGTGATGTTAATTGTACATTTTATGAAAATATCACTAATTACTTGCCTAGTCATGACCTTGAAGATGAAAGAAGTAATTGTTGATTCTTGACTCCAGTGACTTGTTTAGAGGTGCCAGGTGCTGGCAACTTAGGCTCATTAGAGAGCATCAAGTGGGCTCCAGTTTTATCTGGTTAGATTAGTTTCATCAGTTTTTTGTTGCGTTGAACCCTTAACTCTGCCACCAGCTCGAGCCCTAGAGCTCTTCATTGAGTCTTTAATTACAGAAACTTCCCAGACGACTATTGCTAAAAATGCTAAAACTCTCTCAACATCTCACATGTAAGTATGTATGTGTTTGAGGTTTACTTGCTGGATATAATGACACAGTGGAGTCTGTTTAAACTGAAATCTGCGGGATTGCAAGGTTTTCTTCGGTATAGCCATGCTTTTGGTTTGGAGACATTGTTCAAATGGTGAAGGAAAATCGGGAATTCTATTTTTTTTTCGGTTTACTGATGTTTTCAGATGAGCTCCACTGTAGTTGTAAGTTTAAATGTATGGTCCATGGGGACAGTGAGAGCAGTACAGTGGAAGTGAAGTTTGTGCGCCATTTTGTGTTGACCTAAGATTTGACTTGTATGGCACTGATGTTGACTGACTGTGGGTGGTTGGTGGGTGCTCGGTGTGTTTTGCTCCTTCTTTCCTATCAAACATCTATTGTCCTTATCTTTGCTCCTTTTTTATGTTTGTTACTCTCTTGTTACACCCCTAATTTTCAGCACTTGTATGATCTAATTGTCTTGCAAGTGCTGTTAAATGTTAACTAAAACAAATTAGCTAAGCCTTGTGTGCCCCGGTTCTGAGAGCTAAAAGGAACTGTAAACGACTTGTGTTGACTACTAAATTAACGTTGCAGTGTGCATTTGATGTTCAGAAGAGTTAAGGTACCGTAGTTTATGATCAGGTATGCGCTTGGGCCGATAGGCTTGACTATTTCACAAGTTGGAAGCTACTCTTTCTAGGCAGACGATTGATTGTTGATTGTTGCAACAGATAAATACTTTGATCTTCTGTTTACCATTGATTTAAATTTGCCTGTTTGGTTTCTATTTTACTTCCAAGACAACAACTAATCATTATGATGTTCTTGCCAATCTTATACTTGTCTGATTCAGACGGTCGTCTGAGATGGAGCCCTTCAGCCTGATTGCCAATATTATCAGTTGGCTATTCTTCAACTCAGTTGGACTTGGGAATGGATTGGGGGGGGGGGGGGGGGAGGAGAGGGCGTGCCGAGCCATTTCTATTTTTTGTTTGTTTTATTTTTACAGAAAGCAGACAATTGAATCAAAGAAACAGTTTGATTTCCTGCGAGACTTGGTGTCCAACCTGCCAGATCATCAAAACGAGGAGAACAATGGAGAAGGTGTTCACACCGAGGCAGATGTCGTGGTGAAGAAAGGCCGGGGCAGGTATGCTTTGTTTCGAGAGGTTAAAGACTGTGGTTTTGCTTGCTCTGACATTTTTACACAGTCGGCAAGCTGTTCAATTGTTCCAAGCCAAAAAAGTAATATTTATCAGGAGAGAGAAAAAACCAAAACAATTTTATTCTTTTAAAAACTACCTAAATTATGTATCCTTTGTTGATTTTTCCAATAATAAAATTCAACTTTCAACAAAATTTCTTGAGCTCATGCAACTGATACCACAAAGAAAGAAAGTGTGATTTTTTTAAAATTCTCAATTTTGGGCATAGTACGTCTGAACAGCTGGATGACAATATATGTCTTTTTGATAGTATTACTTCTTCTTTACTAATCTTGTAGGGCTTATTGTTAGTAAATATTACAAACTTGGTGCTCCTTTCCCTCTCCCAATTCCTGTGTACATCATCCGTTAATTCTGGTCATAACTGAGCCAGTGTGCTTGCAAGTGGTTGGAGGACACCGCTGGTAGGTTCTACTTTTTCATTATTCCTCTTTCCCTCTTTCGTTTCTGTCTGCCTTTTCTTACTCTTTTCCTGTGCTACATGACCATTACTTTGTCACTTTTCTTCTCTGTATTGTAACATGTAACATCGACACTTCTCTTTGGGTAAAAAAGATTTTGAATTTTAAAATAAAATTTGTCTTATATTTTGGTAAAAACGGGAGTGGGTGGGTCGAGGATGCCATTGGTAGGTCCTTTTTCTTTACTTTCCGTCCGTTGTTTTTGTCTGTCTCATTATCCCAGCACTAAATGACCATTGTTGTGTCGATGTGCTTCTCTTTACTCAAACAAACAATACAAACTCTATGGGATCCTACTGAGATATGTAGTCTGAATGCTAAAAGTAAGATCCAGTTGAGATTTTGGATTACTACAGTCTTATGTGTGGATTTTTTCAGACCCAGAAAGACCAAAGATCCCAACGATAGTAAGAGAGTGAAGGGAGAATCTTCCAAGGCTTCCACAGACAGCTCGGTGGGTGTTTGTGTTATCTCTTGTCTGACTGTCTGTGTGATTTCTCATAGGGCTGTCTGGTTAGTTCTTATTGCACCGTCTGTGTGACCTCTCATAGGGTCAGCTGTGTTTGACATCTTATAATAAAATATGCAGCCTTTTATATTATGCGGCTTCTAAGAAGGGTGTCTATTTGCAACTTCTTCCGGTGTTGTCTATGGGTGACCTCTAATTGGGTAATGTCTGTAGGACCTTGCGTAGTGCTGTTTTCATGTGGGTTTTTATAGCACTGTCAGTGGGGATGCTGGTTACTGAACGATGTTTAATAGAATGTTTGAACTAAATGGGATGAGGAAGTACATAGTTTGAGATAAGGAATGAAGAAAAATTGAAGGTGTTGGTGTAGCGTAGTTTTATCTACACCTTCTGTTGCTTTATAAAAATGTTTGTGTCAAAGAAAAACAGAATTAGTACTGTGCTGTCATATTGTAATTGATCTTAGTGGAGCCAAATGTTTTTGTTGAAGGGAAAGGTTGTAAACTGTTCAATGTGTTTTGGTCCTATTACCTTGCCTTGCAGAGCATGATTAGAACTTTTTAAAGATCACTGAGGGAGTAAGCCATGACTTTCATAATGATTTCTGAAGCTGTCTGTTTTTACATGGAGATGCGTTACAGCTCACACACATATAAATCTTTTCTCGGGGGCTTGTGGTCCTGACAGGGTCTGTATTTCTGTCTGTCGTTTTTACCCTTCCTAGCACTAAATAACCATTATTGTGTCGCTGTGCTTACCATTATTGTGTCAATGTGCTTCTCTTTACTCAAACAAAACAAAAAAGATACAAAAACACTTTTGAGGGTGGTTGTCGGGCACCCTGGTGTGGTTTGCTCCTTTTTTCGTTTCAAACATCTATCATTGTTATCTCTCTTTCTTTTCTATGTACGTTACTCTCTAGTAACCTGTTTGATCTTCAGCTCTTGTATGACCTATTTGTGTTGCAAATGCTGTAAAACTCTTATTAGAACTTTTAAAAAAAAACCCTAAAAGCTTTGATGTTGTCTGACAGGAGGAAGAGGAAGATGAGGACGATGAAGGCACAGAGACAGATGAGGAGACGCACACTGTGCCCTCAGCCAGCGCCTCCGCCTCCTATCTCCCGCCCGCCCCCAGCAAGTCCCTTCAGCAGAACTCCTCCGGTAGCTCACAGGACAGACTGGCAGCTCCCCCTGGCTTGCCGGCACATGTCGCTCGTAAGGAGATGATTGATATATAATTGATGTTGGCAAATAGGATTCTTTTCATATTTAGGTAGTGGGTAGTTGGCGGGGGCTCTGATGTGGTTTGCTCCTTTTTCTTATATATCTATCATCATTATCTCTCTATACTTCTCCTCTTATTATGTTACTCCCTAGTAACACCTCTAATTTTCGGCACTTATTTGACCTAATTGTGTTGTAGTTTCAGTTAGATTCTTTCTACAACTGAAAAAAAAAAAAAGATTGAGGTTGCTTTTTGCTGACATTTAAAAGAATATGTATTTTGGGACATTTGAGCTGCGCCTCTCAATCCAAGACCTGACATTAACATCACACTCTAGACCTAACATTAACATCACACTCTATGGAACATCACAGCAACTGCAGCAAACCTGCACTCATCACTACATGGCATTGGCAAGGTAGGCTTGAGCCCAGCTGTTGCTGGATCGATAAAGACAACAACAACATAAATATTATGCTATATCAGCTTTGTACTGGTGGTTGGAGGGTGCCACTGGTAGGTCCTCCTCCTTTTTTTACCCACTGTTGCTTCAGTCTGTCTGTGTTACTTTCTCCTTGCTATTTTGTTGATGAGGTTCTCTTTACTCAAAGTGACCAAACATCAACTTTGTGATGTAAAAGTCCAGTATCTATCGTCCTTATCTCCCCTACTTCTTTTTTTATGTTTGTTACTCTCTTGTAACTCCTCTAATCTTCTGGCACTCATATGACCTAATGCAGTTGCGAGCGCCGTAAAACTTCTACTTAAACAAACAAACTAAAACAAAAGTCCAGTGTAAGGCAACCACCCGTTGTTGAGGAGGAAAGTGGCCATTTTGGGAGGGAGGAGGTCTTACAGTGTCAATAGAAAGTAAAAAAAAAAAAGAAAAAAAAAAGAAAAAAGAAATACAAGGGGGAAATGGGAAGTGGCCATTTGTACAGGTGTGAATGTCTTCTTGTACAGGTGGGCGGTAGAGCAGGTACAGTTGTATAATCTTTGAGACTCTCCGTGAAGCAAAAGTAGCTCAACTGTCAAGTTATTTAATTGAAAATGATAGAACTGTCTGTTCTTGTTGAAAGAATGATGCATAAGACTTCCAGGAATAACTGTAGTGTTGTTATGACTAAATGTTTTTGCTTTTGTTGGACTATGAGTAATGAATGAAGTGAAGGTGGGTACAGGGATGCCGTTTTTCCCCGTTACTTTGTGTAGAAGAACGGTGATTATTCTAAGTATTTGTTTTCTATTTAACCCCATATTAGATGTACTAGATAACTATCTTTTTGTTTGCAAATGCAACTTGACAAATTTTAAAGTATTTTCACAAAATCCTAGTGGCATCCATGCTGGTATCACTGGTGGCGTTTTTGAATTCGTTACTTCTTCAAAAGCTAAGTCTGAAACAAACATCAGTAATCATTGTTTGCCACTCATTTCGTTGCCCTGAAGCTTTCATTAATAAAACGCCTTTATTTTCCTGGTCTTTTCTCGCCACACATTTCGTGGGTGGTTGGAGGACGTCACTGGTAGGTCCTACTTCTTTACTTTCCCTCTGCTGTTTCTGTCTGTCTTACTTTCCCCCCAGCACTAAATGATCGTTATTTTGTCGATGTGCTTCTCTTTTCTCAAACAGACACACAAACAAGCAAACAATGGCCTCCCATTAATTTTTTTGTCCATATTTTCTATTTTCAGCTCCTGGATTGCTGCCGAACCAGCATGGGGGGTGAGTTGACGCTTTTTTTTTTTTTTCTCATTAAAAAAATGTTTTGGGTTTCGTCCCATGTCCTGATTTTGTTCTAGATATTTGTAAATTTTGTAGAAAATGTATGAACGTGGTAGTAATACCTATAGTTCTACTTCAAGAAGATACAAGAACGGAAAAGGACAGTGTCGTTAGAATGTAGGAAAAAACAACACGCGGTGGAGTGGGAGGTGATCATTTTGTGAGTGATTGTCTTGGACAGGTGGCCATTAGAGCAGGTTTGACTGTATTTAGGATGAAAATATTGTAATTAATTTGGATGGAGGTTGGCTGTAAAGACTCAGTGTTATGTCGCAATAGATGCAAGATACATACTCATGCTTTGACTTACACTTCTATGTTAGATTGACAAGATAAAATTTGTAATATATGTCTCCCTACGAAGCTCATCTAAACACTGCTCAACTTTCAAAGTGACTGATGAAATATTTTCATCCCTTAGAAGGAGATATGACAGTCACTCTTTATCACCCTCTGTGAGCACATGGGGATAGTCAATAAATAATGAATATGTTTCCGTCCTTTATTCACCCTCCATTTTTGGTGTGTAGTCTTATGCTGATAGATGTTAAGTCTAACTTTTAAAATATGATGGAGTCTGCTTAATCTGAAATTTTCCGGAAGACCAGATTTTCTCAGGTTTAGTGGGGTTTTCGCTTTAGAGAGGTTGCTCGAAATATGAGCAAAGAATTGAGGATGTTATTTTCTTTGTCTTTTTATATTGGCTTGACCATGATCGGTTCAAGCGGACTCCACACTGTAGTGTTTGAGCAAATTGTGCATTGTCCAGTGGCGCGAAGTTCCTTGCTTCTGATATCCATGTTGTATTTGTGTGACAGGTGGCCGCCCCAGTTCATGAACCACCCGGCCTTGATGCCACTGCCGCCGCCCCTGCGGTTCGAGCCCATGAACGACCAGCATTCCCCCCAGGCCTTCCACCATCCGGCCGGGCAGCCCCAGCAGCGCCCGCCTGTCCCCCCCCACGTGATGCCGGGCTATCCGGGGGCGGCCGGCTACGCAGCCATGTACCAGAGTCCCCACCCAGCCAGTGCCAGCCACCCGTATCCACTCCCTCCTGCCCCGATGCCGTCGCAGCAGCAGTACGCGCCGTTGTACCAGCCCATGATGCAGCCGCCTCACGCCCTGCCTCCTCACAGTTTACATGAGCCTGCTCACCAACAACAACCGCAGCAGCAGCAGCAGCAGCAGCAGCAGCAGTCGTTACCAAATGTACAGCAAGAACAGCAGCAGCAGCAACAGCCTATGAATTTATCGTACTCCGCACGAGCTCAGAGACATGCCACAGAGGACGACGACTACGACTCATGACGAAAGAAGGGAAGAAACGATTTAATTCAACACTAGATTAATGTTTCTTTTTTCTTGTTTTTTTTTCTTCTGAGTGTGTATGTTTGGTGTGTGGGCTGAACGCCAGAGGAAAGTCCTAGGATTTTAAAAGAATTTACAGTAGACCCGCGTCTAGTGAAACATAACATTTGTTATTGTGTTTTTATTTGTCAATCAAAGCAGAGAGAGTGAGAGAGGCACTAGTATTTGTGTTTGTTGAGGCAGCAGCAGGGAAATGTTTAGTTGTGTACAATACAGTAGTCTAGTATGTTTTGTCCTTTATTTTATGTTACTGAAGATCATAGCATTCCATTTTTTTTATTTTGTATGTTTTATTTCATTTTGTATTCAACATTTTTGCTAGTGTGCTCCTTATTTTCAAAGTCAAGAATGGTTTGTAGGTAGATTCTGTTGTTGGATTTGTTTTTTGACTTGGCTAATCAGAGCTTTCTTTGAGGTCAGCCACTGTGTTAGTTTTCTGGTTTTGCTTCAAGGAGTTTGTCGTGCGTCCTTGTAATAATAATAGAATAGTTCGTCCGTCAATGTCTGACGATGATCAATGCAGTTGCATTCTAAAAGAAAAATGTAAGAGATAAAGATTAAGATGATTTGTGGCTTCAGTAAAAGCCAATGAGATAGATTCTGGCCGAAGAGTTTACCACATTTTGAGAATATGAAGGCTTCATTTCCACTTGTGGGTGCGTGTAGTTTGGGGGGGCTTCTCTCTTGGCTTCTGAATTTCTAATTCGCGAAGCCTCATATGTTTTCTAATTCGTGAAGCCTCATATGTTTTGCTGCCCTCTGGTTTGCTGCTTTCTTACTGGGTCTGTCAGGAGCTAGACTCTTCCATGTCAATGGATTAGTGCATGTTGAAGTCCTTCAGAGACATTTATTTACTGGGTGTCTTTGAAGTGTTTTTTTGTGTGCGTCAGCTGTGCGCTTCCCCGAGAACAGCTGTAAATAGAATACAATAAATGTACTGCCTTTAAAATCAGGCATTCCCAAGAAATGGCAAGCCCAGCGCAGTTGAGTCCTTGGTATTTGCCCTTTTGAGAAGTTTGGTGTGTAGTATTTTGTCCTGCCATTTGATGCTGAAAATCCTTCATAAATAAATGTATAAAGATGAACTTCTGGTTTTAGTTTTGGGGGAACTTCCCCCCCCCCCCCTGTGTGTTTGTACACACTCACATGAATGCAGCACATGTTGCCAGGGTTGCTCTTCCTCTCTCTTTTTAGAGTGAAGACAATTTTGTAGGCCATTTTGTCAGATTGTTCAGAACCTTTTCAATTAGGAAGGGCAATTTTTATCCTCAAAACTCGTCTCTTACTTGAAGGTAGAAATGGGAGGTAGTTTTTTTGACTTCTCCTTGTCTATTTCTGTCATGGCATTTCTGTGGGAGCCACGAGCACCAGGAACAGTTTCTCGGCTTTGCTACAGATGAGAAAATCATTAGAGCTGCAATGTGTATGCAGTAAAAAGAAAGATTTATAGCAGAGAAATTGATGTCTTGTTGGCAATTTTTGTACCTGCAAACACAGCAGGTATTGCTTTCAGTGTCAGCTAAAGATTTGGGTAAATAAAAAGAATGGGATAGGAGAACGGTTGTGGGATGTTGTGCTCTGTCACTGTCCTTTGTACTTTGAGAAATTTGAGCTTTATGAAGTTAACCTTTTTTTTGTCTCTTCTCCTCTCGCATATTGCCTTTGAGGTACTATCTATTATTGCAGATTTTTGTAGTCTCTAAAGTAACTGCGCTCTTGGAAAGGCTAAATGATGTCAATTAAATTATATCATTTTTAAATGTCTTTGGCCAATAGGATATAAGGAATTTTACAGCAGTAATAAAGATACATATATTTTCTAGTTTGTTCCAGAGGACAACAGATTTTCTCAGCCTGAATAGCCAGGTCTAGAAGTTATGTAAACTCAGAAGAAAAAAAAAAATGGAGTTACAAGATGCCAGCATGACGCGCAGGAATGCAGTTGTTTCTGTTTTATTTGTCTATGGAAGATCAAAGATCTTGTTCTGCTGATCGGATTAATTTGAATTTAAGACCTCCTGCCTCCAGGAAGTAATGAAAGTGTTGTAAAAGACTCTTTTGCACGAGCCACAAACTTATTGTTGTCTTATCATAGTTGTTTTTCATTAAGATTTTACCCTTTTTGTAATAAACAATTATTTTCTAGTTTTCCGAAATTGATTTTGAAAATTGTCAATTTATTTACTGATTTTACTTCTAAAGTTAGCGGTAAAACAAGTGTTTTGTGTTACATGTACACTATATACACACGCGCAGTGTTCTTGAGCTGGGCTTTTTTTTCAGTTTGCTGAGGGTGTGGTTGTTCAACTTCCTGCCTTTTGTCTGTGTGTACTTACTCGCTAGAGTTCATTCTTTGACCCGGGCCAAGGGGAAAAACCCCCCAAAAATACAGCAGGAGAGCACTCGGGACTCATGATCTGAGTGTGGCCCGGCCGCCTCAGAGTGTCGGGTAGTTAGGGACGAAACACTTGCTTGAAGGAAGCTCTTCTCTGAAGATCTCCTGCTGTCCGCTTGCCCGACGAGTTTTCTCCCTCTTACTCTATTGCTCTAGTTATTTCCAAAGCATTGGAAGGAGCTGACTTGCTGTTTTTTTCACTCACAGTATAGGGAAGGCTATTCCTCATTTGTACGCAGCCAATTTTGTCATTATTAAAGTTTCCGGCGTCACAAACTTCCTTGTAACTCCGCTCCTGTGTAAACTATTTGCATAAAATAAACACTGAACTGGGTAGAAATTAATGATCCAAGCAATAAATATATCTTTTGATCATAGATAAGATGGATGGGCTGGTGTTTGGTAGAAATGAATGATTCGAGCAATAAAGGTACAGTTTGATGATAGATAAGATGGATGGGCCAGTGTTTGGTAGACTTTTGTTATGGCTGTACTGTAAACAATCGAGTGATGCTGGGGGCAGGCTGAACCGGTGCGCCGTATACTGAAAGTTGATATAATGTATGATGAGGTTGTTCTGGAAAAAAATGGGGAGACTTTAAACTGTTAAGTCAACGCGCTTGGTTTTGTTTTAGTTTTGTTTCTTTTCGTCGGTGAATGAACATATTTCTGTTTTGTTTTCATGTTAGAAAAACAAAAAGTTTTGGTTGTAAAGATTTTGTTATTTGTTTTATGCAGGGTACCCAAAGTTCCGACTCAGAATGACAGCTTTAACTTTAAGATTTTATAACATCTGCCAATTTTCTCAGTGGTAATGCTAGTTTCAGTATTTTACCTAGGACGTAATGTATTTTGTTTTCAACAGCTATTAAGGGCATTATGTTGTTGACTTTGAAAATCTGTTGGTTTCATAAATATTTCAATGTTTCTCGTGCAAATTGATAAAACTTCAAAAATCTTTTCTCTTCTGAATGGTACCGTGGGTAGTGGGGGTCGCGATAGACAAATAAAATGAGAAAAAGGTTTGGTCCTACTTTGTAAGTTCTACCTGCTGTGCTGTTATATATAGATATAACCCTCCAGGCACAACCTTTCATCTCCGCATGTGGGAAGTTGTTTTGTTGTTGTATTGAACCACAGCAAGGTCGGTAAATGTCCTGGGTAGGATGGGGCTCCCTGACTGACCTCTGTCTGGGCATTCAATATATGTGAAGCGTGCTGACAAAACGAAGTAAGTTCTTCTCGGATTTTAGCCCTTTGGCCATAGATACATCAAATTTGTAGATTGAGTGAGTCACACTCGTACTATATAATGACATGGAAAAAAAAAGGCATGGGTTGAAAATCCTCTAATTTGATCCATTTTGCGGCTGATGTCTGCATTCGTGGATTAGATTGCAAGATGCAACTCATTTTGTCAGCGTGCTTCTCATATATATTTGTCCAAAACAGAAAGTTTTTGTATTCTTGGAGACTCTGCACGGGGTTTGGTTTAGGGGTGAGTGATGTGTTATGATGTTAAAACTTCCTCATGCTAGATCCAGGCGTCAACTTCATGGTTTGTGTAATAGGCTGCATTACGATTTACGTGTATTGGGACGAAACACTTTGTACTAAGTAGTAGTTTTGATTGAGAAGTTACGTTATATATATATAATATGTACATTCATTTCTTGTTGATTGTTAATTGAAGCTTGTAAAAGTAAACTGGACTTAAATGTTCTGCCTTGTCTTTGTTTTCTTTTCTTTTTTGTACTGTTGTACATTGTTGTATCACAGTGGGTGGTTGGCGGGTGCTGTGGTGTGGTTTGCTCCTTTTTTCCTATCAAACATCTATCGTCCTTATCTTTCCTCCTTCTTTTTTGTGTATGTTACTCTCTTGTAACACCTCTAATCTTCGGCACGTATATGACCTTATTGTGTTGCAAGTGCCGTAAAACACTTACTAAAAAAACTAAAATAAAAACGTGTGTCACCGTCACTTCTGAACAAACCTAACCTGAGCACATGTCGTGTTGCGATGTGGTGGAATCTGGCGCTCGTCAATTTTTAGGCATGTGGAGTTACAATATATCTAAATCTGTCCCCGTCGTTTTATGCAAGAAAAATTCTGAAATTATGCAAACTGAGCTAAAAAATATGTGACATTATCATCATTATGCGATTTTGTTAATTTTAGTAAATAATCAGAAATTATGCAAAAAATGATCAAATTTTGCTAAATTATTCGGGGTGCATAAAGCCATTGGGACAGCTAAATGGCTGTTCAGCTCATCAGGGAATGTGCCCAGCTCTCTGATCAGCCTGTTTTCGTTTGCTTTTATATATATATGGTTGCTTTTAAGGACAAGCGGGCTTACCCAGATTTTGGGTTTTTCCAGAACGGAGTGTCTACATACACAGTAACCGGGCACCTAGACTCAGTGTCTACGTACACGGTAACCGGCAAACGGGCACGTAATCTCAGTGTCATGTACACAGTAACCGGGCATGTAGCCTCAATATCTACGTACACGGTAACCGGCTACCGGGCATGTAGTCTCAGTGTCACCAGAGACTATAATATAATTAAATACTCTCTGGTGTCACGTACACGGTTACCGGGCAGTTCAGAACTCCAAGTTTCTGTCATCCGGTGTTGCCTTCATCCCCACCCCTCCCTCAACTGTATCTTTTTTAAAAATCAATAATCTCTCCCCC